GGCACTCCAGCTATGCGCAATAGTCGTAAAACTTTATTTATTTGAATACTCTCACTTGACCAGGCCAATAACTGCCCTCCCCTCCCGTCTTTGGCGCCCCCGTTGGGGCATTTTGTAATTTCCTGAGCGTTGCGTACGATTTTGATCGAAACGCTGACGGATGGGGCAGCAACTGGAGCCAGAGCCAAAGTCAGTTGGCCAGCCAGTTTGAGCATTTTGAAAGCTGCCAATATTGTGAATGAAACGCGAAACTTGCTTTCAGCACAGGGACCTCAAGCTGGGTGGAAAGGCGAATGTATGTAGATGGGGCTGATGCTGATGAGCCACGAGGCTAATGGCAAGAGGAAGCTGTAAAAGTTGGCCGGGTAACTATTAGGGGTTATCGTTATCCTATCCACTATCCTCTAGGTTTTTCTTGTAGCGACACGAGGATGCCGTAAACGTTAGTCAAGGATATAAAAATGTAAAATAAATCGTATAATCCATTCTGTTCAATTTTTCACTCTTCATGAAACTAACGTAAGCTTGGCTCATCTTTTTGGCACGCTTTGTGGGTCAATTTGTGAGTTTTGGATCTCTACCTGCCATGGCGAATTATGTCAACTGCAATCGAGATTGCACAAGCCGCACGTAAGCACTCATCACAGCCATCTGCTATATATCCATGTGGATCTGAATCTGTATCTGAATCTGAGTCTGAGTCTGTCCAGCTATCCAGCTTAGCTCTTGACTGGCGTTAGATTGAGCTCTCTTCAAAATGCAAATGCGGTCAGCGGAGAAAGACGGAGAAAGGGGCAGAGAGGGAGAATCGCTGGTGAGAAATTGAGAAACGAGCCCGTCTCTGTCTCTCGCTCGGGCAGGCCATGCATCATTGTTAATGGCAACTTGTTTGTTGTCGAATGTCGTATGTCGTGGTGTTGCTGTTGCTGATGTTGCTGATGCTGTGGTGTAGTAGTACCAGCATCAGCATTGATCAAACTTAATTCAAAGTTCCTGTTACGCGAGCTGCGGTGCAAAAATTTCGACATAGGGAGGCAGGGCAGCAACGTGTTGCTGTTGTTGGTGCTGCCGATGTTGCAGCAATATGCGTGCGATTAAGACGCGAGCGCGGCGGCTGCTTAGTTACATCGTATTATGTGCCATAATTTAATTGACATTGCTCGCGTAAATCAGTAAATCAGGCAATCACTGTACTGATATACGATGTGTTGCTGCTGCTGCCCGTGTTGCTGTTGCTGCTGCTGCGACGCTGACCGCAGCATAAACGAACGTGAGCTGAGCATTTAAATGCGGTCAGCCAGTTTTTCATTTTTTCTCGCTTAGCCGTTGATACTAACTAGACACTTGTATTATTTAAATCAAGTTGTGCTAGTTTTTTTCTTAATACAATAAAAACGCGCGCGCACAGCCGTCTGCTGTGTGTATTATTTGATGTGGAAATTAATTTAATTTCGTTACAAGTATTTTGTTTGGCCTGGAATTCCAGCGAAGTATCATTTTGGGTTTCTCCTCGGCGGCGAGGAGAGGAGAGTCCATGACCTTTGGCGCAATACCAGAGCATTGGCCACGTCTCACGTTGTTAGGGGTGGAGCAGCAGACTTATCGGAGCTCCAAGTTCGAAGCCCGGAGCTCTCCACTCCGAGAAGCCCGCCGAGAAGCCCCAGCCGAGCGAAGGTGTGCACCGTGGGCGATGCGTCTGCATCTGCGTCTGCGCCTGCGTCGTCATCAGAGCAAGTCTGCCCCGATCTACAACAGCAACAGCAAGAGAAACAGCTATAGCAGCAGCAGCCCAAAACAAAACACACTCAGGAACACTACACACCACACACTCTACAACACACACACAGTCACGCGGGCGGACTCATAAAGCAGGCGTTGTTGATTTTTGAAGACAGGCCCGGGCAGAACCAAAGACCCTCTGCAAAATATTAGTGGAAGAACAAGGAGAACTTCACTTAAATGAAATTTCTAGATCATTTTAGATTTTAAATTCAAACAAGCTTAGTTTAAAAAAATTATTAATCAAAAATCTACATTTTTTATACTTTAATCTAATTTTTTAATTTTTGAGAACAATTTTTCGTTTGGAATCGAAAGTTTAGAATATGATTGATTTGATTAATGTTCTTCTTCCCTAAGCACGTTGTAAGCCAACTTTCTATCCTATTATTTAAAGAGTACCTTTAAAGAAAAAAGTATAATAAATATTTTTCATCCAGGTACTTGAGTTGGTTATGCAACTCACAGTACTACCAATATTTCTCCCCGGCCTTATTCGCCTTTTTGTTCGGTCTTTTGCTCCCACAAGCGCCGTTTTGGCAGTTCGTCTGCCAAATCCTTTGTTTTCAGCCAGCGTGGCCTCCTACAAAAATTTCGTGGCTTTTGTTGCGCCCTTCCTAAGAGCCTCGGCCTCGTCGGAGAAACCAGATCAAAATGCGCCGATATGAGCTCATAAACACGCAGTTTAAAAGTATTTTTTATTATTTTATTTCATTTTCGGCTTGGCGGGTTTGGGCTTTTTATTCGTTCGTTTTTTGGGATTTCGGGAATAAAGATCAGAGCAGCGAAGAGGACTGTGTTGAAAGGGGTTCGGACTGTACATACACTTTTGTCTGGCGCTGTCAGCTGGATTCTTTTGGCTTTTCGGGCATTGAAAACTTTCGCCTAAACCACTTCTCGCGTTCTATGTAATTATTCAATTAGGCGGGGTGCAAAAAGCGAGCGAGATCGGGAGAAACAGTAGCCGAGATTTTGCTCTAATTGAAACTTAATTATTCTCCGAATGTTTTCGTTTATATATCTGCTGTGTGTGTCTAGTCTGAAGCTCATTAACAGTCACCGGATGCACTTTCAAATCAAGCGAACAGCAAGTGGCCGAGTGAAAGATGCAACGGGCAAACGAGTTTTTGCTGCTGCTGTTTTTGTTTTTGAAGACCCAGCAGCAGTGGCAGCGGCTAAAAAATCATAATAAAATTACCATAATTATAAAAAAGCTGTAAAACAACCAGCAGTATGCCACAGTTTTTTAGCGGTAATATTCTTTTAGCTTTTCGCGAGGGGAGAGGAATCAAGTGGCTGCTGGTTTTCGGTCAGCAGGTGTTAGAACGGACAAGTTGCTGTCAGCTGAGCCAAGTTTGGACTTTAAGACACAAGAACCGAATTGTATAACACGCCCCAAAAAATAGGAAAAATAAGACTGACCCTCCTGAAGACCATTAAGCTGGCTGGGTGTTTGTGCAACGCATAAATCTTTGGGCCAAGCACAATGGTTTGTTTGCACGTCCCAAACATTGGCGTGTACTGGGGGACTAGCCTGTGTCCAGGTCCTCAACCTGGTGGCCAAATCAATAAAAAACTTCCGTTGCTCAAACGACGAGGGCGGTTTTAATTAACACGCGGCGGCCGCAGAAGTTGCTCCCTCGAAAGCGAAAGCGGCCAAGACTTGCACCCCGAAAGTGCAGCCATAAATTCGGGCTCTTGGCCCGAACTGCCTAACTGCTTAACCCCTTAAAGGCCCTGGGCGACGGAGAACACAGAGATAGACCGAATTGATTGTGTCGCTGGGGGCGCAGGGGCGTGGCTATTTGCTTAGTTGCCTCGATTGACAGCTGCCACAGTCTTGGCGACTTTGGGAAATCAGGGTCTATCCTCCGATTCGGCTGGGGTGACTAACAATGGGTCTGGCTTGCTCGGTTCGGGCCAAGGAGAATTTATTACACAGCCGCCGTGTGGCACGCCCGTTCTAGACCCGATCCCCTTCTGCGGCGCCCCTGCCCTCCTGCGAATATTCAAATATGTATCTTGATAAACAACTTGCGGCGGAGCAACACCCACGCCACCAATACAAAGTCAGCCACAAACACACAGGGTCTTCAACTTGTTTTACAAGTTTTTCCTTACAACATTATTGCGGCTCTCCCTCGCGTTTCGCAGTCTCATAGTCATGAGCACATGAACTTTCGTGGCACACTAATTCAATTAGGAAGCCCACGCCCACTATCAATAAATTTCTCAAAACACGAGACTCATTCACGGCTCTGTTTTGCTGCTTTGCCGTTTGTGGCTCATCTGGAAAGCCATTAAATAGAGCAGTGGCAACTAGACGAGACGAGACGCGCTGGGCATCGAGTACGAATGTGAGTACAAATGCGAGTACTTGGGTGGGTGTTGCCTGTGACAATGCCATGCCCTCGCCACCTCCCCCTCCCCCGCAACCGGAAAACTAGCAAAAAAACTTTTCACAAAATTGACATTGACACACGTGGAGGAGCACAAAAAAGAACATTACAATATTGCACATACGCCCGAGTGGCGTGTTGTCAACCGAGAGGGGAAGAGGGTCACAGGCGTGGGAGGTTGCCATTGTTACTGTTGTCTTGGCTCGTTTGTCAGTCAACATTAGAGACATGTCAGCAATTCAATTGGGAATATGCTAACTACATAACCGCGGGAGCAGCCAATGAAATGGCCCAAAGGGTCCTGGCCAGGACCTAAAAGGGTTGAGTGTCCCTTGTTCAACGTAAATTTCTTAGTAGAGATCTTCATTTTGCAATATTTATTGTAGGGTATATATGAAGGGGAACCCTTAGACTTAAAATATGTATATAATTCACTTAATTTTCGCATTTCATTTGGTTCGATTTAGTTTAATTATTTCGTAGAACTATAAACATTAATCAGTAGCTAGAAAAATGTTGTTGAAATCAATAGTATATATAATAAAAACACAGTAATTATTTAAAAATTAAAATAATGTTTTTTAAGGTTTTGGGCACCTATTTTGAGAGTCTTTAATTTTAAAAATAGAGAAAGAGGTATTAGACTTTCGTAAGTTGAATCTACGCAAAAGCCCGGGTTTCTCAATGTCTCTTTAACTTAACCGAAACATTTCTAATTTTAGTTATTTTTCACTTACGTATAACGCACTAAAACCTGAACTATTTCGAGTACTTTTAGACCAAATGTGGGATCCCTATCCCTACCCCTTCGCTTGAACTCACCTGCGTTTGCGTGAGGCCCAGACTCGCCGCCAGCTCCGCCCGCTCGGGCAGGGCCAGGTATTGGGTGCGCTGGAAGCGGCGGTTGAGCTGCTGGAGCTGCAGCGAGCTGTAGATGGTGCGGGGCTTGCGCATCTTCTTGCCCTTGCCGTTGACGCGCAGTCCGGAGTCCTCGCATTTGTCCGAGATGGAAAAGTCTGCGGGGGGAGAACGAAATACAAAAAACAATGCGATGAAAGGAGCTGTCTGTAAATGGCAGGCTGGAAACTGGGCAATGATGAATTTATAATCAGACTATGGAATTATGGCCAGAATGGCCCTTTTTTGTGCCTGTGTTTTGTGCACCAAATGCATATTTATGAGCGAATTCCGGCGGCAGCTGGAATGCATGAAACTGTTACATTTATGGACCTGAATTAATTGCAGCCGCATCGCTTAGAAATCGGCCAGCCAGGCTAATATATCGATTCGTTAAGTAACTTGTAAATGTCAACGAATTAGCGTTAATTGCTGAAACGAAAGTTCAAAGCACTCCACAGCGGAGTTGAAACTACAACGATGATGACGACGATGATGATCGGCCACCACTCAAGTTCAATGAGCGGCGACTGCAACTGTTGACGTTGCTAATTGTTCGAAAATAACACACGGAGCCACCAAACCAAGCCAACTATTATTAAATGCCAAATATGGCCACAGGTGTGTATCTGTATATCTGTATCTATAGCCGTATCCGTATCTGTATCTGTATCCGCCATCCGAGTGTTGGTGTCGCCGTATACTGAGTATTATATATTTTTGGCGCCCAACAGCGGGCAGCACGTGCTGCACACTCTTAATGACAAAATGGCAAGACTCAGTGCGACAGAGATGGCGGCATTCGCTGTCGCCTCGGCCACCCAGCGGCCCATTAGTCATCGCATATGTGGTGTAGTGTGTGGTATGGGTGAGTGGCCAACTCCTGGACAGTCGCCATTTGGCCATTTCACTCGGCCACCAAAGAATGGTGCAATTAATTACGCCAAACGAAAGCCTAATTACTGCTATTATAATTACAAACACCTGTCTGGGGACTCCTTCTAACGGTCAGCTGCTTTGCAGATCTCTGGGCCGAGGGTTTCAAGAGCAAGTGCACCAAGGTTAATTGGCCCACGTTGCGTATGAGTGACGAAAGTCAAAGACAGCAAATCGAGGCTGACTGAAGCGTTGGCGTTGCCTGTAACCGTTGTTTCAGGTATTTCCACTGACAATGGACAAAAATGAATTGCTTTTCACTCACCGAAAAGCGAAACTGCTCAACCAAAACGCATCGGAATAGCAAAAATAACAAAATTGTCCAACAAAATACGAGAGGCAGCCGCATTAGCAGCAACAACGAATTGTCACAGTCAAGCGCGCAATTATGCCAGAGACTGGGAAAAAATGTACCGAAAAACATAAAGAACACACAAAAAGGAGAGATGTAAAATAAAAATACAAATAAAATGGGAAAATTGCACGTACGTGGATGAGCAACAAAGAGACTTTTCAGAGCTCCCACAGCTTCAATAGAATACGTTTTATGGGAAGAAAAAGTAATATAAATGTGGAAAAAGATGCAACATTTTTTAGTTTATTTACAAAAATGAAATATAATTTTTTTTTAATATTACTTGGAATAATTTAAAATCGTTTAAATAAATATTTTTAAGTGAAATCATAAAACTAAAAAAAACTAAGGTAGTTCAAATAACATTAATTTAATGTACATTAAGAAAGAAAAAAAGTATAACTTATAAGAGGAGAAATAAAGAGAAATAACTTTTTAAGTAAAATGTAATGAAAGGGTGTTTAAAAAAAAATCAGATTGCAGGAGATGAAACTAAAATGGATACATAAACACTGGATAGTGGGTCTCAACTTAATAATCTGAAGTCAATAAAATGCTATAACTGATTGTTGGGTAATTCTGCAACCGATTGAAATTGAAATGCGATAAAAGTGAAAAACACTGAAGCCAACCTAATTGAGACAAGTCAAACTTGAAGTCAACGAGCAAACAAAACCCGCGAAAGACGAACGACAACAATGGCACTCGACGGCGTTGAGCTCTCGAGTTCAAGTGTCGCCAAAAAATAGACAAGGAAGCGGCCGACCGGCGATCTCTTCGAGGGTCCAACAAAAGACCCGGATCTCTGGGAGAATGGTAAACGAATAGGATTATAGACTACTTACCATCCTTGGGTGGACTGGCGCAGGGCGGGGCGTAGCTGCCCAGGTGGTAGCCGGAGTAGGAGTTCTGGTGCATGGGCGGGAACGGGTAGCCAAGGGCACTGCGCGGACTCGGGAAGCCGGAGTCCTGGCCGCCCTGCGGTCCGAAATGCTGATAGGTGCTCCGAATGCCGCCGTACCTGGAATTGGAATGCGGCAAATGCACGGAAAAAAATCAATACGGGTGGAAATGGAGTACATAGTACACAGGCTGTGAATGAATCGTGCCGGGGGACAGAAACAGAAGCAGAAACAACTTTTCCTCCTTGCGTGTTTTGTCTACACTTTTCACTATTCACTATTAAATTCAAACGTCGCCGCCAGGAGAATATCACAAAAGTGAGCCCAAAATGTTTCATGTTTAATGCAAAAAGCGTCGAAACGAAAACTTTTTCTCTCACAACAAAAAATTACGGCTGACGGAGAGGCAGCCGGAAACTTTTGCCATGACTTCATTTACACAAACCAGAACCCAAAACCAAAACTAAAACCAAAACCAAACCAGAGCCCGAACTTGATGCGGCTTAATATATCAAAGAAAAATCAATACAAATGTCAGAGTCGCTATGTTTTAGTTTTAGTTCCGTTTGTAGTCCCGCTCGCTTGCGGTAAATATTTTGTTAACACTTTGCGGGCGAAACAGTTGAGCAAGTTCCCATGCATTATGTTCGGCTTCGGTCCTGGTGAATTGCATGAAATATTCAATGCTCTCTGGTCTTGGCCTGGCCCCTGATGGAAACACGGAAACGGAAGCGAGCCGAGAGCAGCAGTAACCGCAAACGGACAGCGGACAACGGACAGCGGACAACGGAAAACATGGCAGTTACTCCAGGAACGGAGAAAAGATAGGGACAACTCCTGAAGGGCTGGGCTGGTGCAACCAAGCATTCCAAACCCAATCCCAACACGCACAAATGACAGGGCAGCTGAACGCGGAGGGAAAACCGCAAAGGCAAAGGCAAAAAGCCGAGAATGCAATAAAATATGTATAATGAAAAATCGAATCGTGCGTTGGGAAAACAATTTGCGGCAGCAAACAGTTCGCCGAGTGAGCGGTAACAGTAAATAAGTAAGATTGCTGAGCTTCCACCGACTTCTACCCCTATATCGTCTATAAAATGAATTATGACGGTACAGCGGAACCAGAAACAGAAAACAGAAACAGAACCCTCCGTATCAGACGCTTTATTTAGCACACGGACCGGGAGTAAACTATACTTAATTGAATTTATTTTTGGCTTCCGTTTGCCGGTGACCGCGGGCCACCAGCACCAGCATGAACTGAAAGCCGGAAAATGCAGCTGAAGTGATTTTCTTAATCAAAACTAATAACGCGAGACCCCAACATAGGATCGAACCGGAACAAAATATCGCCAAGCTTAATAATGTTATGAAACTTGGAATTAAATGGGGATTTTACTTTGAACTTTAGATATATTTTTTAGGAAGAACATAAATATATTATTAAGTGTTGCCATTTGTTTGCAAACTTTGACTAACTGAGTGAATATTTTTATGGCTCTTTCAAAATATTTTTATGATTGAGAAAAAACAAGTTAGATTTATAGACCAAGTGCAACTTCAGCTCAACATGACTTCGTTTTACAGGCTTTTTTATTAAATGCTTGATATTAAATACCGTATTGTTGGAAAAGAAATAAATGGAACTAAATATTAAATATATTGAATACATAAATATATTAAACATTGAATTGTTAATACGGTGGAATTCCAATTTAAAGGTTTAAAGGTTTCCTCATAGCTTTTAAATCCTGATTTGAATATCGCGTTTTAGATTTATTAAAAAGATTCAAATTATAGTTTGGGGAACGCCCTGGCCACCAACTCCTTTGTTTCCCTTTCGGGTGTGGCGAATAATCCGCAAATTAGATTGGGATCGGATAAATTTGGTGAGGAAAGGCTAGAGTCTGTTTGTTCGATATTCTCCTGGTAGCTCCACATCCACATCTCGGCGACACTCACCCGGCGGCGGCGTGCTGCTGCAGCTCCACGAAGGCCGACTTTCCGGGAATATTGATGCCGGGCGTGACGCTGGCCGCCGTATTCCCGCCGTCCATGTACTTGGGCGTGTGGGGCGCGTCGGGGGCGTCCATGCCGGACTGGGGGGTGCTGGGAGGCCCCTCGTAGGGGCTCCCTAGGTCCGTGAAATTAAGCGTGTTGGCGCCTATTGAGGCCACTTTATCAAGAATGTTGACGGCTTTTTGGGGGGGATGCGCGCGGGAAGGAAGTTCGCAGCGATCCGATGGCAATGATCAGCTATGGTCGGCTGGTATGATTGGTGATTGCACGTAAACAAAGTCTCAACTTTAGTTCAGTTCGGTTAGAGCGCGTAAATCCTTTTACAGCTGGCGAGGAGGCACTTTTCTCAGCACTTTTCTGGTTAGCACTCAACTTGTTAGCACTCTGTCGGAATTGCTTTCTCCGCAGCCCGCTATCTCAGCTAACTTTTATCACTTGGATTTCTGGCTGTGCATATTTTTCGGAACACGATTCTTGAACACCCTTTTAGCGGCGATGAATCAAATCAATTCAGTTGAAATCAAATCGAATCACTATCGAGCCCGCGACGGATCATTCGGCTCGACGCAGAAACGCAGAAGCGCAGAGACGCAAGAACGCAAAACGCAAGAACGCAACGACGGAACAGCGACGGCAATTCAGCGGCACGAGTGGCGACTGATCACGAGCAAAGTGCGTATACGACTAGGTGAGGTTTTCGCTCGCGGTTGCGCGAGACTTGCACGACTCGCTGCGCTGTCGCTTTGCGGCCTTTGTTGGTTTGCCGCTCTGTAGCCGAGGTGTGTGAGCAGTGCGACCGCCCCTTACTCGCCATTAGCGAAAGCAGGACGGCTGCTGTTTACCGAACCTTTTGCAGCGACTCTCGCAAGGCATCGCCAATCGGGTGGTTTGCAACCGGTTTTCTCGGTGGTGTCTCTGTGTGGTGGTGCTGAAACCGCACCAATACCATAAATTTCCCAGCCGGGTGGTAAGAGGGGAAGTGTTGGGTCCCTGTCTGTTTTTTTTTTCGTTACCTCTCGTCAACTTTGTCTAGGTCTAGGGCCCGCATCGAGATTGAGGCGTGGCCTGTCGCTCGCCCCCACCCCCCTTTGGATTTTCGGGGGACTTACAGCATTTATATGCAAATACCAAACGGGGAACTGCCCATGGAAAGTGCAAATATTTTGACGTTTTAAATAATGTTGATTAAATGCAAAGGTCTCAATTATTAAATTGATTGTTGAACCTGTAATTTGTCTTCTTCTTTAACTCGGCTGCTCGTTTCGGGTTTTATTTTTGGCTCAATCGAAACTGTGGCACACGCATTGCGATGGGTAATCAACAGTTGCGGACAACAGACGAATTAAGTTAATGATTTGTTTACGTTTTACAAACAGTGGGGGCTTCTTGAGAAGAGGAAGAAGGATAAGTTCATGAATTACTTAGCCAAGTGCATGGGTACTGCAAGTTTTCCAACATTTCATCGAAGGATTGTCTTTAACTTTTCAATCCTTCGGTCTTAAAGCCTCCTTGAAGCCCTAGTGGCGCCACCTGGTGGCCGCCTGTGGCAGCGGCAAACCAGTCTAACGGGCCAACCTGCTCACCTGTCAAGCAAACACACACACCCTCGCACACACTCACATCACGCCCCCTGCTGAGAGCGGAAACTCTCTCTCGCCACGCCCCCGTTGAGCGTGACAAGAGAGAGCGGAGAGCGCGCGCAGGTCCGATTCAAAATGGCGTCCTTTCAGCAACACAATGTCGCTTTGTGGCTTTGGGCCAAGCGACAGACAAGCGGCTTATTCGAGCGGAGTTTTTCATTCACAAGACAAAGTCGCCGACCGGAGAGAACAGCGGAATTTCCACCTTTTTGAATCGAGCCCAACTGGGAGTTGAAGCGGCGGCAAAGCGGCCTTTAGCCCCCACTTCCCCTCTCTTTTTGCTGCCCCAAACGAGGCAGTTGTCACCTGAGAAGGATTTCCGCTAAAAGTGGAAAAAATGCATATTCATGAGTCGGAGCGGCGCAATTAACCAGAACCAGAGTGCCACAAAAAACCGAATTAAGTTTATTTATAAATATAAATATAAATCGAGATCGAGCTTCCAGCGATAATTGTGCGGCTGATCTGATTCTAATTCTGATTCTGATCCGACTGCAAATGTTAATCCCCTGGATCCGATCGGATTGGTCTGCTTTAACTCTCCGTTCGTTCCGTTCGTTCGTTTCGTTCTGACCTGGTCGGCTGCACTGCACTAATTTAAAGGGAACAGTTCAAATGCACGTAATTGTTGCAATTACTTAATGAAATATTTATTAAATGCAAATTATGATTAGACCGAGCTCAGCTACTGCAGCTACTGTTCCTTTTCCCACTAAGGCGCTTGGATAGTGTGTGTGTATGTTTGTCCAGGGTAATGGCTGCCCCTCTTGGGCCCCGATTAATTGGCCATAAATCAAAATCAAATTACCGCCACACGAGACACGTGCAAATATGTCAAGCAAACACGTTTGCAAGTCAATCAGCCGGGCGAATTAATCTATCAACTGTCGCAGATGAACCCGCGACATCGATAAATCAGCAGATATAGGGCATCGGGGCATCGATAATATGGATTATGCATAAGTTAACTTGGAAACGTATTACTGAGAAATTCTATACTTGGAATAAAATATTTGGGAATGCTTCTTTAGAAAATCGTGATTACATTACAAATTATTGATTTATTGAATGAATTTCAGTTTTTATAAGTAAACATCTTTTCCCCAAATTAATATTTCTTGTAAATGTCGTACAAATAGATTTAGCTAATGAACAATTACCTCGCCAAAGTTCTATTGACCTAGTCCCTTTGACCTTCCTCACCCATTAGCTTTTCTCATTATTTAAGAGATTACCATAAGGGCACTTTATTAAATGGAAAAACGTAAGCAAACAGGAAGAACCGAAAACCTCTAAGCTTTTCCCATTCTGATATCTCACTTGGCCAAGAAATCACTACCAGAAGCGAGCAAATACGGAAGCCAAATCGATTTTATTACCAAACAACATTAATTCCCAAATTAAAGCCAAGAGCGGGCATTTGGACAAATGAGACGATTAATTTTCGGGGCCTAGCAGAACCCAAGAAGAAGAGCCGTTCAAAGAAAATCAACGGAAAACTGGAAACGAGCGGGCAGAACGCCCACTAGTCGAAAGGAATCCAAGGGGAAAGCGCAAGGAAACACCCACGAAACTCTGCGGCTGCGACCAAAGTTGCCGGCCAAATACAATTTATCATTTAAATAATAATGTGCCACAAATGACGGGACGAGTGGACGTGAACGTGAATGTGAATGTGAACCCTTGTGCGAGGGAAAGAGCATAAATCAATTCGAGTCCAGGCCAGAAAGAGATGGCAGTTAGCTAGCTTCTGGGGGTTGCTGTCGAGCAGTTGGCCAGCTCAATGAAATGGAAACTGACTTCGAGCCACATCTGATGGTCGCTCGGCCGCTCCGGCCAAATAGCCCAAATGAAATGCGAGGCAAGGCGCTCAAATTACATTTTAATGAGTCCCCGTTCGTGGAGAGGGGGGTTTTGTATGCTCGGCTAGCGAAAATCAAACTGCAGGCTGACCTCACCTCGGAAACGGGGCAAAATAGAAGGAGCTCAGACCGCAGAAGGCAGACCATTCGATGCGCCTTTCAACGCCATAAACAGTGGAGCCCCGCGAAGTGCAACGCGGAGTGGAAGGGGGGAGGGGGCCAGTTTATGAATCTGTTTATGATGTACGAGGAGGCTAATGAAAGCGCCCCAGCAGGCGCCAAATTGGGTCAGGACCGCCTGCGGTTCGCCAGAGCCTCAGAGCTCCGCTTTTCGGACCCACATGGAGCCCAGTCTGCTCTGTGTATTGACATTCAATTCGAAATAAATCAGAGTTTACGACTCCAGCCGAGCCAACGACTTCATCGCCCTCCTTGGGCCTTAGCCACTTCCACTTCCAGGCGGCTGCCTTCAAAGATCAACGCTGGTGGCTACGGCTCCACGCTCGACAGTTGGCTCTTAGCTCCTCATCCTCTCATCCTGGCGTTAATTGGCAGCACCGAGCGACCGACCGACACTGGCGGGGCCAATAAATTTCCAGGCCAACGGCTTCGCCCCGAACCGTGTTGATGTATTCATTGAATCCTAGGATTTGTGGATCGAGGAGCCGAGGACCACGCGTGACTTGGAGACTGGGACACAAATTCCAACTGCGCCAATTAGCCACCGAAACACAATGGCCGGAAAGTGGCTGCAGTGGAAACTGGTTGGCCAGAAGAATTCCAATTGAAGTGGTTATGGCTTCATTGCTCTGAGATTTCTTTAATAACATTACTTAATTCTGTTAACACATTTAAATCAATGTAATGTTTTTCTCCATCGTTTAAATTGAATTAAATTAAATTCGAACCAAAATAAATAAAGCAAATAGACCCTCCCAAAACAAAAGACTTAAGCAAAAAACTTGATCCTGAGCCGATCGAATGGTTCAATTAATTAAATGCGCTATTATTTATCTTAGCAGCTTTTATCCTATTTACACTAACCGCCTAACTGGCTAATAAAGAATAATGCTATTGCTATTTATTTGCATATGACTCTGGCAATGATCGTTATTAATGACTTTAGCACTTTTTAATTTAATTAATTAGAATTGCTAAATTTATTACCCTTAAAGACTAGGTAAATATTACAATTTGTTGAAGCCGGTTATTAGTAAAGCCCGGAATTTTTTCTTATCTCTACACCAATATTTTTTTTTTTAGAAAAATCGTTTAAATAATTTAATAAAATAAAATAGATTATCCTTAAAGACTACGTAAATATTACAATTTTTCTTATCACAACACCCATGTTAGATAACTTTAACTTACAAAACCATTTGATTGAAGTTGCTTCTTCGTGTAAATCCCCCCAACCCCCCCGATGAAACTCGGCAATTTCACACTTTGGGAACCTTTTAAGCAGCGTCACTCGAAAGGAACAGTCACAAAGCATCAACCAAAACCCCAAAAAAACATCAAAAACTTAACACCGAATAAAAATGAAACGAAATGTTTGGAAATTTGAAAATAATTGTTGACACTTTATTATTGTAGTGGCGGTGGCGGCGGTAGTTGTTGTTGTCCCAGCGACGTAACAAGTGTCTACTCCCGACACCGCCCCTCCTTTTCCTCCCTCCCTCCCCTTCCCCTTTGACCTCTTGGCTGCACATGCGCAGGCCCGAAAAACTTCCGGCACAACAACAACAGCAGGCGCAGTATGTAAATGGGAAAAATTTAGTTGTGTCACATTAAAAAGCAATTATCACCTTAAATTAACCGGCGGAGTCGGAGTCGCGTACATTGCCATCGAAATATTCAAATTGCTCGACTCGACATTTTTTCTAATGACTTTCCAAAAGGAGCGAGTGGGGGAGGGGTCGTCGCTCAAATTAACTTGTTGCTATTTTCAATTGGATGCCTTCGGTTCGGTTTTTTATTTGGGTTCGGGAGGTTTCAAACGGTTGCGCTTTTAATTCGTTTTAAATTATCTCGTAGCCGTAGTTTGGCTTCGGTTTTAGTCGAATGGAAAAGGTAGTTGGCTCCTCAAAGGCAAGGTTTAATTTACCATGGAATGGCGAGGGTGTTGATTCTATGACCCGTTCGAGTAGTTGGACAATGCTGCTTTTATAAGACAAAAAATATATTTACTCAAAGAGTTTAACAAAGAAATAAATTACATTTGCATTTCAAATATTTATGAAAATATTTAAATACGGTTTATTGTCTGAATTAATTTATTCTTCAAAACGAAACATTATATTTTAAATCTTTAAACGCATTTTTTCTCATTACATTTTCCCTACACCCCATACCACTGTGCCCTTCCACCTGTGGATGCTCTGGTATTTGGCCTGGACTTTGACAAAACAAAATGAAAACTTTTTCCATGTTTTGACGGAAACATTTGTCAGCGATTTTCCAGCGCCAGGCCCAAAAGCGCGCTGGAAAACATTTTGAACAATTTAATTAGAAGCACCTAAGCCAGACCTCCACAAAAGCCACTGCTCGACAAATTATCATGTGTGGCAAGAGCTGGGGGGAAAAAACCGTTTCCGATGTGATTTACGATTTACGAGCAGTATGTGTGACATTTGTCGCCTCCACTTGGCTTACATCACCGTTTGCGGCAATTACCGAAAGGTGTTGGCTCCTCTACAACTGGAGCAGCTTCATCAGCAGCAGCAGGAAGAGGCTCTCCAAGAGGGCGCACCACCAGGGCAGTTGCAGCCTCTTGGCGGTGACACTTTGCAGGGGGATTGGATGATGGGAGGGACGTCGGTGGAAGATCTCCTCGTGGAGGTAGCACTGATGGATTCCCAAAAGTAGTCCTGTTGAGCACTGCCCGCCTTCATTTTTTCCCATTGGCAGGCTCAGAAGGATAAGCAAAAACCACAGCGATCCCTGGTAATCCAGAATGATCTTTGAAATGTCTAAAAAATGTTATAGAATTTATTGTACCTCCTCCAAAAAATGCAAAGTTTGCTTTGACTTTCGGAGTTGAAGGGAAGAAAATTCGAGGCAAGAAAAGGTGTCCATCCCGGTGCTGCACAATTAATTAACAAAGGCTGCGATCGCGGGAGGGGATGTGCCATCTTTCCCCTTCCCCTTTTCCCCTTTTGTGTGTGAGTGATATGATTTATATTGTCTCCCTGGCCGGCGCCACATCGAGAATCCTCAGCATCGGTCGGCATCTTTAATGTCTCGGAACCGGGAACTCAGAACGCAGAACTGAGAAACTGAGAACTCCGAACTCAACTCAACTTAATTCCCTGTGTGCGTGAGTGTTTCGTGGAGGATGCTAAGGATGATGCTGATGATGATGAGAGGCGGCTGCGCTTTTAATTCCCAACTTGGCCTAACCCTCGGCTTTGCTTTCGCTTCCCCTTGCTCAGTTTTCGGAAATTCTGCATCGACTTTTCACACTTCCTTCGGCTACGCTCCAATTTCAATCGGAGCATTGAAACACCCCCGCTGGCTGGCCGGCATTAAAAAGAGATTTGCCCGGGTTCGCTAATTATATTTTGGTACACGGCGAAAACACCTTTCCCCGAGCGGAAAGAACCCTTACTTTTACCTGGGTGGGTGGTGGTGCGGCTAATGAGCTGTCCTGCAGGAAGGAAGGATTAAGCAAGGAAGGGTCAGAACGGAACGGATTTGGCTAATCCAAGGTCGTCGCTTAGCGCCGGTTTAAAGTTCGCCTCAATTGGATTCGCATTCGCATTCGCACTCGGTTTTAGGTTAGCGCGTCGAGAACTGGGCCACCGAGTTTGTGTTTATGGCCCGATGCAAATGAGGCCCAAGCCAACTAACGGTGGCTGCTGCTACTTCTTACTTCTTCTATCCACCAAATGTTGCACTGCAGCAACAGCAACAGCACAGCAGCAACGCCCCCTGGTAGATCGCTCCGGGAAGTCCAAGGCAGCAGCATCTATCAAGCTGCGAGGAGGGGCAGATATACCCATACCCATCCCATCCCATTCCGGGCCAGAGATGCCAGCCAGATTCAGATTCCGAGCCAGAGCCAGAGCCATGTTCCCGGGTATTATAAAGTGCATTGTGGCTACCAGTTAAGTGCATGTTGCTGGCCAGAGGGTTCGGCAGACGGAGCCCAGCCCCCGACGTTCGGAAGGTGTGTAAACTATGTTGCCGCTGCCCCATGTTGTTGCTGCTGTCGCAGTTGCTGTTGCTGCATGCCGCATGTTGCTGTTGCCGCTGCCGAGCAGTCAGCAGAGCCAACCCATCAACAGCCAAAACGCCACGGGGTAGGACCTTTTTCTTAGCTTTTTTGAGCCAGTTATTTTGATACCCTAAAAGGGAGTGCTTACCTTTTGAAAGAAATTAAAGAAATCTATATATATCAATATATTTAAACATACCATTTAGACCTTAAGAAAAATATTTAACAAATGTAAAATTTAAATATTAACTATATTTTTATTCTGCGCAAGATAAGTAAATGGAAATAGGGTGTAAAAAAACTCAACGCGACTTGACAATTTGTTTCGAAATATTCTTATATTTTCTTTCAAAAACAAGGAGTATCAAGTGTGGTATTCAAAAAGTTTGCAACTAAACATCTTGTGCTGAACTTTCACTATAGCCAAACTCGTGTTTTTCCATCTTTTAAAGAGTGCTCAGAACTCCGGCTCTCTAAATTGTTCCTCCTGTTTTTTTGTCTTAGCTGTTTGGTGCTCTTATTGCTGCCCGGTGGACTAAGCGAGTGGGCGCGTTCACGTCCAACATCCACATCCACATCCACGTTCACCTGATGCCGCTGCTGCTGCAGTAGAACAGCTTCTGTTTAGCATGGAAAACAGCGAGCTGGCCTGGCTTTCTTTCCATTCATGCAGTTGGGCCTGGCTGGCAACAAGTTGCTAGCAAGCTATAATTACTGCATCCATGTCGCTGCAAGTTGCTACTTCATAAATTAGCATGCTGCTGCTGATGTTGCTGCTGTGCATCGCAGTTGCTGCTGCTGCTGCTGCTTTTGCTGCTCCAGTCAGCGGTCAGCGCTTTGTCATTGCCAGAACTTAGAAAAGGAATGACCATGGCGTTTTCCAAGGAAACCGCAGCCAAACAGATCAAGGCCCAAAAGCACAAATCGCACAAATCACATGGCATGGCCAGCATTAGGCTTCCGTGTGCTGTCTTGTCTCCTGGAAGAAGATGGAGATGGAGTTGGAGTCCACCGACAGAGAGAAAGAGACAGAGCCCCAGACGAGGTCGTTCCCCGCCTCCGGGCAGGCTCCTCATCCTCAGCCTCTCATCCTTTTTCTGTTTCTGTTTCCCTTGAATTCCTTGAAACAACGGAACGCCCCGTTGGCCGCCAATCCTCGATCCTCCTGCTCTTGTTAGGCCCCTCCTTCCCTCTCGCCTGCCTGGCTGACCCACAAACAATTTGTTTTTGCATTTCGCTGAAGGGGACGCGGACTTGGAACCCCTTTGGAACCATGATACGGCTACCACCCCAATATAAAATATAAAAAAAAAACAGAAACCAAAAAAAACTGGCTCTCGACATCATTATCACTGCGATCTGGGCCCCTTGCGTGTCTCTGGTGGCTTCGCAGCTCGTCTCAAGGTTTCGATTTCAGGAAATCAATCTTGTTTTGGCCAAATACTCGGCACTCGCACTCGCAACTTGGCCAGCTGAAAAGGCACTGGCCATCATTAGCCCAGGTCTCATTCTCTCTCGGTCTCTCTGGCTTTCGGACTCTGGATTCTGGAAATGTGGAAGGAAGGACAGGAGCTGCCAGATGACCCCGGGCGCAGTTCGAGACTGGTCAACACCCAGGCCAAATGAATGGCCAGTCGTCGCAGTCGGATGCGATGCTGATGATGAGGCTCTGACTTGGACCTCGACTGGGTCTTGGGTTGGTCTTCAGCCCGGGGGCTCCAACTCGTAAGCGTTTTGAAGACCTCCAGTGCAGCACGCGATTTATATACGACACCCAGGAAACGGGCACCGCCAGTCCTCCAGTCCCTCCTCCTCGAACTCTAACTCCAACTCGAACTCGGAACCTCGTGCTCTACAAATCCGGCCTAAGAGCAAAACTTTATGCGCTCATTAACGATTTCACTTGAATCTCGGATCTGCCTTGGATCGATGAAAAATGTGGTTTTAATTGGGATTAGGCCAGGCCAAAACAACTCACTCAGGGCAGCAACACGTGCAGCTCATTCGAGTGTTTGAAATGCTAATAAAAGATAGATTTATCATCCGATGCACAGGCGCTACCATAATGATTACAGCAAATACTCGTAGTCGACGGAGGCAGCTCCTAACTGGGCAACAACTTCACTAGCTGCTGGCTAGCTCTCTACCGAAAAGCGCTGCATCATGACGAGGGTTCCTGGGTTTCCGAAAGGGAGGAGGAGGAGAGAGTGGAGGAGGTGGAGGATCCGGGGGACAGGCCAAGCACTTGCGTGTGTCACTGCGGTGACGCTCAAGTAGTCGACTCCGGCTCCATCCTCAACCAGCGAGCCAGCGAACCAACGAACCAGAGTCAGAGTCCCAAAGGCAGAGGCACCTGATCAGGTTGGGTTAAAGGTGCCCCTGGGTGCACTGCGAGAAAAGGTGCTTCCCCGCAAAGGTTACTAGTGTGTAAGCCATGCTACGCAGTCTCCCCGGTTTCTTCAAGTGCCCACTGAGATGAAAATTAAGTCATCACGCTAGGCTGAAGTAGGTGCTGTAGGTTCCCCAAATCCCAAACACACAAAATCCAAAAAGACAGAGATATATGCTTGCGAACCGCCAGCCAGACACTTCTTGATGAGATTTGAGCTCATCAGCCGAGTGTCTGGCGACTGTTTGCTACCTTCCAAGTCCCCAGATCTGGCAGACTCAGATGATGATGAATGGGCCGAGTTGACATATGAGGGTTTTAATCGTCATAGAAAACCTACGCATGCGATTCGAGCATTAAAAGTTGGAGAAGCAGCAGCCACAAAAACAGAACCTCAACGAAATAGAAATGGAAGTAAAAGCAAGGCAAAACAGACTTCCTTACTCATCGAAATCGAGTGATTTGAGGTGAGGTTCTGTAGTGGGTTCTCCCATTCTCCCACGCCGCCTTGTTATCCTGATCATCGAAAGCCAGGATAACAAAATTGGCGGCTTCCTTTCAAGCTGCTGCACAAACACTCGACTTTTGGCCAAATCATCTGCGCGGAGGATCAATGGAGCCTCTTCGTCAAAATGATCAAACGGCTTTCAACAAGTTTGTGCGCCTTTTGTTAGCAGGGTTTGGAAGTGCCGAAAAGAAAGCAAAGCTGAAAACGAAGCAGCGGCACCGAATGTCAGTCAAGGGGCATTGATTATGATCATCAAATTATTGAGCGCCCATGAGCAGAGCTGCCTGGCACAAAACGCCCCCTTCCGCAGCGAAATGAAGACATGTACTACATGGATACTACAAGATGTGTCCGCCGTTGGCCTGGCCACATAAAACTGCTGACACAATCGAAGCAATTAAATCGTATGACGCTGCCCAAACTCACACTCAAACTCAAGCCCAAATGCAATCGAAGTCTGGAGATGGAGTTCCCTGTGCCCTGTTGCCTGCTCACCCATAGGCCCAAGTCAATCGAAGAGGCTTCACCTCTCGAGGAGCGGCAGGCGACGATCTCGACAGCGATAAATTGTTGTTTTCGAGTCTTTACAACCTTAACAGGTGAGAAAATGGGTTCAGTGGTTGCCCCTCGAACATGCTGATCTCATGCCCCCGAAGTCTTGACTTCTCTTCAGTTTCCACCGGTGAGTTTCCATTCATGAGTCCTGCTTCTAATTCAATTGTCCCAGTCGCCCGGCGCACTGATGCCAACCAATGACGATCGGGCCAGGTATCTCCAACTTCCAACTCCCAATCTCCGATCTCCATTTATTTCCACAGCTCAGCAAATCTTCACGAGCCGATGCTCGATGGTCGATGGCCGATTCTCCCGGCCAGCGGATAATTTCACCCATAAATTGAACGTAACTTCCGTTGCGATTGTGCGTTTGCGATAAAGGTTTTGGGCTTTGGTTTTGTTTTTGGTCCGATTTGGTCTGATCTCGTCGAGGTCACTCATGAATGGCTTGCACGGATGGCTGGGGAGTGAGTGGTGAAGTGGATCCGTTTGATCTTTAATCTGTTGCAGTCGAGTGGTAGCCAAAAAAAGGGTAAAAAATAAGAGGAAATTTAATATTAATATGGGTTTAATAAATTTGGGGGCTAGAATATTCTATTTAAAACTTTAGTAATATATATTAATTAACATTCTAAATATCGTAAATATATTACCTACTTTTTCCTAAAATAAATATTTAAACTTAACAAAAATAAATGCCCTAGGTCGCCTGTTTTCCATGACTCAACTGGGAGACTTCCACTAATATGAATCTCGAAACTAACAACTCCTAGGGGAACAAGTTCCGATCTCAATCCATCAGTTGTGGATTTCATTCAGCAGGAAAGCAAAGATCAAAGCGAAATCAATCAGTTGGCATGGGGTTTATGCAATCGGCAGTTCTCTCTGCGAAACAAAGGCAATTAAACTAATTACTGGCAAAACAATCAAATGATAACATGGAAAAAAAAACTCCGCTTCGAGGCGAGAATATTCAGGGATATGAGCCATAAGTCAGAAACCAAAAGAATATATCAACAACGCAATAGAATGGCTTTCGGATTTTTTCCAGATTTTCAGCTTTTCGATTTTCGTCGACTTTTCCACGCTGGCAAGGCTAGCGGCAAATTGGCGGCAATTTATTAATTCAAAATGGCCAGTGGAGAAACAAAAAATCAGAGAGAAACGCAAATCCTATTTGTCAATTTATTTGCCCAAGTATGCGTGCAATCACAACAAAGCAGCAACAAATGTCAATTGCTTAAGCAAAATTGCGCATAATTGACATTTTTCCAATTTGCAGTGGGTGGGTGGAAGGGGGGTCATTGTTAGATAGTTTAGTTTGCCACAGCACGAACCCTCGCGTTTCCTCGATCTGTAAAACTCTGGATCTCTAGATCCCCCGACCCATCGTCACGCCCAAAACTATAAAACTGTCTTCGGCAATGATTTAATTTCCCAAATATTGTAGAACATAAATTCGGGAAAAAGAAGGGGGATTCTAAATCCCGAGTCCTGGCCAAGTGTCAAGTGGTATTGAAAGAAGTTGCCGCCAAGGCTGGACCGCACGAAATTCGACAAGTTTATGGTTTGTTTGCCACCACTCATTAGCCTGGTATATAGTACCTTACTACCAACCATATTCCATAGAGCCACAGTTCTCTGTCCTCACTCTCGAATGTGTCGCATTGTGTGGTTCCATAATTACGAGCCTTTTGTTGCTCAATCTGCCGCAACACTTGTTGCATTGTCCTCGCTTTGTGCGGCTGTGTGTGGGTTCCATAGTTTCCGCCTAAAAGGATTTCACAGCTCATAGATAATCCCATTGGCATAGGAATGGGATTTGGGACTCGGGACTCCGGGTATCCTTTGTCTAGTCTGCAACAGATGGAGGCGTTGGCTCCCAGCTTCAAGCGCTCCCCTCTCCACGGGTTCATTTAAAGGCATTTTAAGACCTTTTCAACAGCCTTAAGTCCTAAGGAGATATATCACATTTATGATTTGTTTTTGGCATTTTAATGTTTGTGTGTTTGTATGGGGAATTAATGTCAAAAGTAGATAATATTTTATATTATCTTCCAGTGATATTAAATAAGATTCTGTTTTTCTTACGGAAATTGAAAACTTTGAGCTAAACTGTACCCATAAAAACCTTTTCTAACGGCCAAACTGGCTGATGACATACACCCAACTCAGCACTTTGGGAATTCTAAGGCTGCGTGAGATGTCGTCTTCGTATTTTGCTGTTTCTGCTTCTGCCTCTGACAATGTCATGATGGCGTCTTGAAAACATTGAAACGGAAACGTAGATGGAACACAAATACAATGTCTGACAAGTTGCCCCTTTCCGTTCGGTCGGCCCTGCCCCTCCCCCTCCCCTTCCATCCGCCGCCCCTGAGATCTTGGCCATATAGCGTGCGTGGCGGCGGCGGCGGCAAAAGTGGCCCCTATCATTATGGCTGTCGTCTTAGCCGAAATTGGTCGGGGCAGCAACAAAGATTTCTCGCTGCGGATGCTCTTCCAGAATGGGCGCCTCTTTTCCCTCGCCATCCCATCCTCCACCAGCGATCTCTGATTTCTAGGCCTAAACATATTTTGGCTGGGAGAGCGCTCCTCTCGAGCATTTTCCCCCATTTTTTGGTAGAGGAAAAAATTGATTTACGACTTCCGCTGGCAATGAAAATTCACTTTGTTGTTTTCGAAAACACTTTTGAGCTACTTCTGTCCGGAGTCTTTTATCTTGTGGCTTCTGGGTCCGCGCGATCGACGATTGAGCTAGAGAGTCGCCGCTCGGGGTGTTCATTTTTATAGACTCATTTAAGGCGATTATTTAGCAATTTTTTAAGACATTTCTGTCGACGTTTTTGCGCATACAGGCTGGCCAGTTCCTCGCCAGTTAGTGGCGAAATTTATGGCTCAGAAAGTGAATCATTTAAGTTAATGACTTTCAAACGTGTTTCACACTCAAGTGCGAGCGGGACGCACAGAGGGCGATCGGGAGAGAGCAAGGGAGACGGCCGATGCGATGGCTGATTGACTTGACTCACTGGCCAAGACAAGTAGCCGCCGTGATTGATAATGCGCTGATTGAATTATGGCCATAAGTGTAATTTGCCCAGTGGCGTAGCCCAGAAGAAGTTGTGACGTTTAGGAAGGGAATGGAAAGTTAAGAGGGGTTAAGAAGCCAGGGTTAAAAGCTACTATTGATTAAAACAAAATCTGCTTAGGGTTATTCCATGGCAAATAAAATGTGGTACAATCATACATGACAAATAATCTCCGGATATTATTATTAATTAATTTAAGATATTGCCACATTTATTTATTTCATTTCAATATTAATACTAAGTACCTTATCTTAAGGATATTACAATAGTTCAATTTTTCTGAAGATCCCTCTTTTCTACCTCCTTGGCTCTAAGCTGGCTTTTGATAGAGACGCTTTGATGGATACCTTCCTAGGTCTAGGCCACCTTACGATTTGTTACTGCTTTTCTACAAAAGCACAACCACGGATTGGATCCCAAATGGAAGTCGGAATTTGTCTGCCCGGCCTGGGGGCGTTTTTGGGGTTTTATTTTTCAGACTTTTGCGGTTCGGCTCGTTTTGTTGTGCTTTGTTTTATTTGGTCTTCTGTGCTTTTGGCGGCAAATCAAACCGAGTTTATGAAATTGGCAAATTGGCTTATGGGCAGTCGCGTCGGCAAAGCAAAGCGAGTTGATGGACGACCCAAGTCGGAGTCGGAGTTCCAGTCTCGAGTCCCAATCCAAGTCCAAGTCGCAGTCCTATCTATGCGTGCCAAAGCGCCAATGGCGTTTTAATTTGAAGTTGGGACCAGGCCGGCGTCAGCTGCCGAGCGTTTATGAGCTGCCTGACTGACTGCCGACTGCCGTTGACTTTTATTTATTTAATGTTTCGGCTCTGGCATTTGGCTCTTTATTATTTTATTTGGCTTTTCCTGTGCTACATGCAGTTGCCAACCTGTTCCTCTCGTCTACCTGGGCAACTAAGAAGGGAAGATCGATGCAAAACTGGATTAAGTCCCTTTTACGCCCTAATCCACTGGACCAGCTCTTGGTCCTTCTTGTAATGCCCACGAAGGGAGGTGAATCCTGGCCTGAGACATGGCGCCAGTCAGTCAATCGAGTCGAGGCCCCTGACGAGCACTAATAGGATCAGCAATGCTGTCTGAGCCCTGGCGTGAAATCCGCAAATGTTGTTTACCCTGGCCGAAAAGGGGTTGACCCCTGACCTCTCTGCACAAGTACACCCACTGCAAAGTAGGTGTCTCGGTGTTTATTTATTTTGAAGCAGCAACTTTTCGGTTCTGGCCTGCTTTTTCGGCTGACCAAAATCCAATCGGATGAGTATGAGTCAACAGAAAATCGAAATGATGGTCTCGAAAAGTTCGCATCGATCGATCGATGGGAAAATCGGGCAGACAATGAGAACCGAGAAAGGCGCACAAAAAGCTCTCGGCACTCAGCCCTCGAGAGTCGAATCAAGATATGGTGCTATATAGGAGCCCGGCATATACAAGTACTGATCCGGCCATCATTATGGCTTTCGATAGCAATTATCTGCTACCGTTTAATTGTGCGCTTGGCTCGGATTTTGTGGGCCGCTGCTGGCTGATTTTTCACACGCATTCGCATTCGCCGCCGCCCACCTGGAATGCCCTCTCCACCACCACCCACTCGGAAATCCACCCCCTCCGCCTTTCGGGTGCTCTGTGAATGCTGTCATGTGTCTAATGAGTCGCCGCTGCTGGCCCAGTTGGCAACTTGGCCCGAAGTTCGCGTTCTCTTTGTGTAATTTGCACACTTGCATGGGCATTTTGCATTTCCTATTTTCCTTCTCCCATTTCCCCGTTTTCCGCATTTCCACGCACTCCGACGGACGGATGGGCCAGCCAGCAAACTTTGTGGGTAATTTGCATATGGAACTTTTAAATCATACCGCCCGAAGTTCGCCCACGACACCTGGGCTTACGTCTGCAGTCGCGGGAGGAGCAGCTGTGCCGATGGACACATTTATCAGGTTATCAAAAATACCTATATACCATTTAAGGGGATGACCGAAATTCCTTAAATTGTATTCAATGTAATTTAGATGCCACGCCTTATTATTTTTTATTAAGGTGCAACGTATGAATAAAAAAGCAGAAATAACAAATATCGAATTATCAATTTAGGAGCCTATCCGAAATTCCTTACAAAGTATATCAAAGTTTTCCACGCATCGTATCAAATTTTATTCAAGTGCTTGGGAATTTATCAAATCAAAGCAAGATCCGCATCGTATCGATAATGAAATGCAAGTGTAAATAGTAAACAGTGTGCCATAACATGCACTCGCGGAATATTTCCCATTTTTATGGGCGCCATAAAACACAGTTTGCAAGTTCCGAACAAACGAGGCGAGTCATCTCATCGAGTGGACAGACGCGATCACTTAATTACCTGTGCGAACTTTTCAGCCGCGTCAAAAGTAGGCAGGGTGCCCCGTACAGTGGGGACTCCCGGCCTGACTGACATTTTCACCTTGTTAATTATGCGCACGGTCATGCAAAAATCGCGTAATGAGTGACGGCCATTGAGAGTTGCATTGTCAGCGGACGATGATAGTTTAATTGTGAGCGCGGTTCTGGCGAGGATCGAGGGGATAGCCTCCAGCCTAGCAGAAGTACAACCTGCCTGGCTTCAGGCGACCGTACTCCCCGTTCTCGGTGGCCGCCACCTTGATGCCCAGGATGCCATCGCCCTCCAGAGTCCTGCGCTCCTCCAAGCCCTCCTGCACATCCTGCGCGGTCACCAGGAACTTCTTGAGCAGGCGCCTCCGGTTGGCGTACTTCAGGAAGTGACCGTCCCCGTGCCGCTGGCGGCTCTCCAGGTAGATCTGGTCGATGCGCTGGTAGTGGCAGCACTGCATCCGCGGATACCACGAGAAGGTCTCCTCCCAGTGCCGCCCAGTCCGGTCCATCGCGTGGATGAAGGCCAGCTGGTAGCGCAGCTGCTCCGTGGTCACTATGTCCGCCGGCATCTTGGGGCTTTGTTTATTTTACCAAGAGTATTCCTAAAGGTTATGGCATGTATGGTTTTTAATCGGTGTGGTTATGGAGTGGACATGTCTCGAAATGTGTGAAGTTTCTGGCTGGCCCACCTGATTGGCAGCTGAGTTCGTAGCCCTGATCCCTCCTAATCGCATTAGCAGCCACTTGACGGGCGACAGGTGCAGGTGCCATCCAGGTCACTCGATGAACCAGCTGTGCAAAAAATGAATTCTTTTGAAACATCAAACAATAATTATCTGAAAACTGACGCAAGTCACACATACGAAATGTTATATAAATCTATTTTTAAGCTTTTTAATATAATGTGACCTCATTTCTATTAATCTGGATTAAATCTTTTAATTTTAATTTAATTGCAAACTTTGGTCATAAAATGGCATTAGGATTCAATTCCATTTAACGAAGTTTTGAAGCTTTGGTGACCCCGTAGTCTGTTTATGAGACCTAAATCGGATCTTTTTAATTCGAAGAGCCATTCCTCTCTGTTAATCTGGATTCAGACTTTAATTTAATTACAAGCTTGGATGATATTTGATGATACAATTGCAATTAACGAAGTTAAGTAGGTTTGGTGACCCCGATTCATAGTTATCAAGTTTTAAGTTGGTACTATGTGCTAGGGATAATTATGATAATATTTTGGGATTTTGTATGAACACATTGTAACACAATAAATGGATATCATTCGAATTCAATGTTGTTTACCATAAAGTTCAACTTTTGGTTAAGTAGATAAGGACTTCGGCGCGCGCAATGCCCGAAGTCATCCAGGTGGTGTTCATGAAATATCTCCCATCGGGAATGATCGTCTGGACTATGGTGTTCACGTGATGCACAGGCAACTTGTCCACCACGATGTCTTGCTGCGGGGCAAAGGAGCGTCAATGTGGAAGTTTCAGGACGTGACAGGACTCACCCACCTCGTAGGGACAGGTGTGGTTCATGTTCGAGTAGGGCGCGAAGGTCTGGTAAACCCAGTTGGCGAGCAAGTGCTTGTCGGGGTCCCGGAGGAACTTGCAGGCATCCACCTTGAAATCGATGTTGTACAGGATTCTCCGGTTCTCGCGCATCCTCAACTGAACCTTGGTCTAAAAAACATGGTCGGAATACCGAGATAGTGGGAATTCTGCCGGAGCTTCAGCATCTTACCACGCAGCTCACGATGGGTAGATGGTACAATTTCGTTTTTAGCGAAAGGTACTTGTAGGTGCGATTGAAAGACTTTAGGTAGCAATATTCAAAGTCCATAAACTTTTTGTCCCGTACAAGACAGATCACGTTGTTGAATTCCATGTGTCCACGGAGCTTCGAGAAAAATTGAATTGAAATTATATGGGGATTCGTTGAATAAACTATAAATGTTTAGTTCTTACTGCGATCGGTGCCATTAAAACCAGCAGGAAAATCCGCAAAGCGTTCATTCTGTATAACGACTATTTCGCAACAACATTAATAAAAAGTTTTCTAAAAATGAAATATTTTAAAAGATAATTACTGTAATTACTCGGTCCATTGCCAGTTTAAAACCGCCGGTCGATTTCAATCAATCACTGAGGTGCTTTTAATGTTTAATAAATTTTCGAAATGAAAATTGTAACTGTATTTGCCAAATACACTTCTCTTTATGTTAGCTTAAGGATAGTTCCTATGGAAGACCTGTAAGATTTGTCGGTAATTATAAACTTTTCTATAAATTCTGTTTGACCAAATCTTCTGGTTTTCCCATTATTTATTTATTACTGCTTTTTGGAAAAAAAAGAAACTTCGACATTACTTTGAGGATTCTTAATATTTAAAAATTGTAAAATATTCAAAAACTATCTTATTCCATATTTATTATTATTTGGCTATATTATAGCTAAAAATGTCATTTTTTGAATTAGGGCGCCATTAATTTATCATGGTCTGGTAGCACCAATCTAATTGGTTTGTGGCAGGGATGCCTTCGTAGCAAAGTCTCAAACCGGGTTGAGCAAAGGCTACTTTTTATCCGAGCTCTAAACCTCCCTGTTTTAGCTTTCCGATACTATCGAACAAGCACCGATTCGTCTACCATCTCTAATCCAATGTTTACGTTTTTTTGGCGCGCATTGTTTTGTGCGTCCTTCTTTTAAACTCCAGAAATCAGGGAGTTGCAGAGCCAGAAATGCCGGAGGGAAATGCGGAGCTGGCCGAGATAAGGCGCTTCCTGAAGGAGCGCCTGCAGCGGGACTACATCACCTTGCGGGGCTACGCGGAGGAGCGCTCCAATGTGCGACAGCTGCTGAAGCGCACGGCGGAAATGGGTGAATCCAACTCCTTGCTGCTCATTGGACCACGAGGATCCGGCAAGACGACGGTAGGTAGTCAGGACGAAGTGAAATCCACAGGCTAATCAAGCATTATCCATTCCCCAGCTCATCAACGCCGTGCTGGCGGATCTGCTGGCCAACAAGGCGTTTGTGGAGAACACACTGATCGTGCATCTGGATGGAAATCTCCACACGGACGACCGCCTGGCCCTCAAGTCCATCACCGTGCAGATGCGGCTGGAGAACGCCGCCGATGGGCGCGTGTTCGGCTCCTTCGCCGAGAACCTGGCCTTCCTGCTGCAGTGCCTCAAGGCGGGCGGCAAGCAGTCGAAGAGCGTGGTCTTCATCCTCGAGGAGTTCGACCTGTTCTGCGCCCACCACAACCAGACGCTGCTCTACAACCTCTTCGACGTCTCCCAGTCCGCCCAGGCGCCCATCTGTGTACTCGGAGTCACCTGCCGCCTGGACGTGATCGAGCTGCTGGAGAAGCGGGTCAAGTCGCGCTTCTCGCACCGGCAGGTCTTCCTGTTCCCCAACTCGGAGCGCTTCGAGGAGTACGTGGACCTGTGCCGGGATCTCCTCTCCATTCCCAGTGACAATGCACTTTTGCAGGCAGCGGAAAGGGTGCTAAATCTTGAGAAGATCCACTCGGAGGTGCTTAGCTTCACGCGCAATCACTTTGATCCGGCGGACTTTAGTTTCGTGCCCAGAACCCGCGAAGCCTGGAATAAAGAGGTAGCCAAAGTGCTGGCCACCCAGCAGGCCAGACGCACCCTGAAGGCGCTCTACGACTTCGACATCAGCGAGGCCTTCCTCAAGAGCTTCCTCTTCCGCCTGGTGGCCCAACTGCGGCCCCAATGCCCCCACATCACCGCCGAAAGAATGGCTGCGCTGGGCGCGCAGTTCGAGGGCGACGACAAGATCGAGCTGCTCTGCGGACTGTCGGTCCTCGAGCTCTGCCTCATCATCGCCATCAAGCACCACTCGGAGATCTACGACCGCGATCCCTTCAACTTCGAGATCATCTTCACCCGCTTCTCCAAGTTCGCCAAGGTGTCCACCACGATGCAGGGCGTGGAGCGCTCGATCGTGCTGAAGGCCTTTGAGCATCTGCGCATCGGGGAGCTGATCATGCCGATCGCCGGAGGCAGTGGCGCCGGCGTGGGCAAGGTGCAGAAGGAGTTCGAGATGCACAAGTTGGCGCTGACCTACGGGCAGATTCAGCAGGCGGTGCAGCGGTACCAGGCGCTGCCCACGGAGGTGGCCCAGTGGGCGCAAAGTTCCCTCATCTAGCAGTCTCTCGTTCGCTTGAATTCATTCCTTAATTGTTTTATTTATTTATTATTCGAAATAAAGTTGAAGCCTAATTGTTTTAAAATTTGAATATCAAACTATAACGAGAACGTTTGCAGATGCTTTGAATTACAAAGTGAAAAACATCACATTTGTTGTTATTTTCAGCGCAAAATAATGAAAACAAAAGAAATAATGGTCCCAATATAGAATTTCATACCTCATTGAGCTCATAATTAAATTCGAAATCGATTTGCATTCAGACTTAAACACGTTCATAATTATGATGCATATTTTCTGTCTTGCTCAGAAATAGAGTAATGGAATTTCTTTCTATCGACAGCCATTTAGGTCAGTTAAGTACATTTTCTATCTGCACCACGTTAAATCGATCGATAATGCTAATTCCTGAGACCACCCGCATTTCTTAAACACCCAAAATGGGGGTGGATCTCTGTTGTATATAAGGCCATCGATTTTAAAGTAGGAGTCAGGAGAAGCTAGAGCTCCATCAGAATGAGGTTCCTTACTGTTCTGGCTGTATCGCTCCTGGTGGCTCTGGTGGCCGTCAGCCAGGGAGATGATAGTCCGGGATTCTTCCTGAAGATCACCAAGAACGTGCCGCGGCTGGGCAAACGAGGCGAGAGCTTTGCCATGAAGAACCTGAAGACCATTCCCCGCATAGGACGCAGTGAGCAGGTGAGTTCGGGGAATAATCTGTCATCAAGGACTTTCGTAAGCCTTCAAACTAATTCCAGAGCTCTGTAACTCCTCTGTTGGCCTGGCTCTGGAATCTGGATACCTCTCCCAGCAAGCGGCGTCTGCCATCCGGTGAGTCCGCAGCAAAGGATCAGGAACTCAACGTGGTGCAGCCCGTCAACTCCAATACCCTCCTGGAGTTGCTGGACAACAACGCCATCCCGAGCGAGCAGGTGAAGTTCGTCCACTGGAAGGACTTCGATCGGGCCCTCCAGGCCGACCTTGATCTGTACAGCAAGGTCATCCAACTGGGCCGTCGTCCGGATCAGCACCTCAAGCAGACCCTCAGCTTCGGCAGCTTTGTGCCCATCTTCGGCGACGAACAGAACCCGGCCTTCATGATGTACAAAAACAACGAGGATCAGGATCTTTATGGTGGGGGAAATCGCATCGATCGCAACTTCCTGAGGTACAACACCCTGTGAGGAAGTATCTTGACCCAATTCTACATTATGCTATTGGTTTTTATACTCGACAAACCAAAGAATATGAAAACGTAATTGAGCTTATTTGTAATATATCAGAAATATAAATATATTCAGATCCAGATCCTTAAAAATGGACAAAGCAATTTTTACTACTTTATGGATTTAGTGAAGACCTGGAAACCGGAATGAAATACATATTCCCCGAGAAGCTTAAGGTCTCATTATCTTGATCCTCTTTGATCCTAGAATAATTGTAGTAATATATATATAATAATTGTAGTATGCTACTCTCCCTGTCTTCCATAATGTCATTTCAGCAAATATTTTTCTTAATTATACAAAATTGATATCAATTTTGGGGATGACAAGAGAAAGTCGAGAATCCCAGTTGACGATATAGCTGGAGCGGAGCCTGTCATTATCGCCGTCCCGGAAGGAGGATTGAATGGGATCAGCGCATTAACGGCGCTTCTTCGACCAGGTCCACTCCACTTCGCATTGTAATCTGTCGAGTCAACAACCTAACGGCTTTCGCTCCACTTCGCTCTCCTTCCTCCGCGGGAGGCGGATGACTCAATGGAGTCTTATCAAATTTATGGGGCCCGCTGATGTTAGGAATTTCCAGCGATCGCATTCTTCTGCTCCCTTTTACCCACTTTTACCGGTTAATTCAATTAAGCGATCTGCCCGCGAATTGAATACACAAACAGGATCATGGCGCCGTAGCATTTTAGAATTTGATATGTATATTTTGTTTAATTAGCAGGCCGCTGTTAAATACGCGACATGCCGATGTTGACCAGAATTCGCAACAATTCAGTAATTCCCGCGGCCCATAAACAATCGTAAGTTACAAGCCGGGCTAAGAGACTCCAAAACCAAGAAACAACAAACTCAGACTCGATGACGACGCAAACTTGACTTTGAAATTTTTGCAATGCCTCTCTCGTTGTTATTGTTTTTGGCCTTTTTCGATTGTTTACTTTGTTTTTCAATTTCTATTTCCAGTACAAGCGTAGAACAAGTTTGCTGGGAGGATCCAGCGTCTTAACCACGAAAAACATGCAAGGGGGTTAGGATCTTAACGTAATGTCGGTGCAATACTAATGTTTACATATCTATAAAAATGGTTTCAAATTGTAAGACTTGGAAAAAAGTTTATAAAGTCTAAAAAAGGACTAAAAAGACCCAAATACCCAATCGTTGAGTTATCCTTTTTTTGCTGGTGCTAGGGATCGTTTGCTTCTTCTGTATAAAAAAAGAATTTTAAATGGGGCAGAGGCGTTGAAAGATACATGATGACGTATGAAACGGACATCCCCTCACCTACTTTCTTTGGCTTAGTGACTATGTGAAAGCCCGTTCTATGAAGTTTCCGATTCTCCGACGCCCCTGCTCACTCTGGGGGGCTCCCTCTCCCGCTCTCGCTTTCGCTCTCCCGGCCGCCTAAGCTGCTCTCAGAGCTTAAATACGTGTGCCGAGCCAGCGGCGTCCGAAGACGACTCACAGACATCGCCGCGATCGGTTGTTCAACACTCAGTTCGCTCTGCTTCCGTTTCGCTCGGAATTCGCCGTTTTCGTGATCGACTTGTAGGCGCCTCCGCTCCCAAAACCGCTCCCCCGATCTTGCCCAGAAACCCAAGTGTGAAACAAGCTTTTGCGTTTCAAGCCGACAGACAGACGCAGCTCACACGTACGCCCAAAAACAGCGATAATACAAATTGGCCACGCTCGTTGTTTGGCTTAATTCAATTAAGTGCGTCGGACAGCAGAAGAAAGGCCCAGACCAAAAAACCAAGTGATAATCCATCAAGCGGCCACAAAAGCGTTTTTATCGGGCCCTAAAAAAAAGAAAGTCGCCGCACAAAGGTTACACAACCGAAGCGTGCAATTGACCCACGGAACACGGATCACGAAGCACACGGATTCCCTGAACTTTTCGTCCGAACTACACAGAAATGACTGCGGCGAAAGTAATCTTGGCCTGCTGCCTGCTGGGCGCCTTCCACATGCAAATCAGCTCGTCATCGGCGATTCCCATCTGGGAGTTTTTGACCCGCAACGAAAAGGTAAGAGAAAACTGAAAGCATATTGCGCATGCGCCGCGTGCGCCAGCTGCAGGTTGCGCATACGCCTCGTTTACCCGCTTACTCCACTTACATACGGCAATTGTCCTTGGCATTGCGCATCTGTCGAATCTGTTGAGTCTATCGAATCTAGCGCAGCGCTGAATACTTGATCAGCCGAGCATAATCGTTATTAATAACGATATTGATATTGATATGGTGATATGGTGATATGGTGATGTTGTGATAACTTCAATGAGTTCGCATATTAACGGCGCTTTGCCCGCTTCTGTTTTTTTGGGTTTCACTCTGTAGCAAAAGGCAAAAATAAAACAAAAGGAGATGAAAATGAATATGAATGGTTGACAAGACTGGTCCATTGTCGGTGAGCGGTATTCGGTGGCTCATTTGCATAACTGTACCGCGATTGGCATCGTAACCAACATAACACAATAAATACTCGAGCCAAAAAAGCTGAAGAAGAACGGTCCTTGGCATAAATAGACGCCTGGCGGAGTGCGATCTTGACATTGGGCGTTATCAGAGTCTGGCGAGGATTATAATGGATGTAGATTTATATAGACATAGTATAGTGTCTGGCCTGGGAATACCGGTCTAACTCTAGACCAGCCACTTGCTTTCGAGAGCGTTCGAGAGGAGCGTCTCATAAGCGTTGCCAAAATTATATCTGCAATCTGGTTTCACAACTCATGAAGCGAAAAGGTTATAGTTGCGGGGGCTTCGGGTATTTCGATCTATGTATCAGCGATTAGTCAGCCAATCCCCCAAAAATAACCACCGAGTTCATTCGAGCACAGCGCAAACATTAATTTCCATTTATGAGAAACAACAGTTTCAATTTACATTCGCAAGTGCTGTAAATTGCCAGCAAAAAACAAAAACTAAAAGCTTTTCACTTTTCTGCACAAATGTTTGTGCAACAAAGCGTGACAACGTTGTGGCAATTTTCTCCGCATTTTCTGTTTATTTTTTGTGTTTTTTGGTTAATGAACTCCCGGCCAAAGCTGTTTGGTTTTTGTTTCTCGGACCGCTTATTAATTAGCCGATGGACTTTAATTTATATATAGCAATTTGCCAGTCATTAGATCTTTTTGCCTTTGCTGGCAGCGCATCAGTCTGAACTGAATCGTTTGACCGCTAAGCACGCGAACTGCGCCTTAAAAACCCGCAGATCGCAGATCGCAGACAATAGAGCTCGGGAGAATAATGTAACCCGATCCCAAAAAGCCCGGCCAGAAGTGATTGAAAGCCGCATCCGGCACCCCACACGAGTTCGAGTCCGAGTCTGAAATGAGAAAATAATTTCTAAAAAGGCAATTAAGTGCCGAAAAATAGAAACGCAATTTGCGATTTTACTGGACTGGGACTGGGACTCGGATATTGATGATACCCAGTCGCATTTGCAATTAATGTAAATTCCTAACGATCACTTATTTATAGAAGATGTTTCAGCTTCCTGTTTCGAGGTGATTTTTTACCGCTTCGCCTAAGTGATCGCAGCTATTTGAGCGCTTTCGATTTTCGATTGCAAAAATAAACAATTTTTTGTTGTTGCCCTTTATGTTTTTATGGGTGCAAACGCGTTTAGCCGGTTTGCGGTTCGAACTTCAATAAATAAATTATGTTCGCATTACTTTTTTACGTATTTACGTAAAATATGTTGGGATATATATAGTTTGGGGGGCTGGGGCTTGAGGGGGCAATGGAAACCCGCATCGGAACCCTTTTTTCCCAGACGATACCTAATCGAACCGGAGTCATTACGGTGTCTCGCTGCTTTTTATTTTGTATGTTATGAAATGTTTCATTTTCGTGGCTGCTTTTTGTTGATTTCTTTTGTTGGCAATTTCGATGTTTCATAATGTAACCTGCGCATATCAACAGGTTATTGAACCGCCGATCCGTTGGGGATGGCATGTGGTGTGGCTATAGGGCAGGGGTATTACGGAGGTACGCCCATATTTGTGGTTCGGGAAGCGACCGACGACGAGACAGCTTAATGGTCATCGCTTTTCGGGGGTTTCTCATGCTCACAAGGAAGTATACGATAAGATCAGATACGTTTGGTGCCAAGATCAGTGTGTCTATAAGCTAGGCTTTCATTGAGTGCGATCGAAGTCAGCTTAGTCACTTAGCTGGAAGGCTAATGAATTACAACCTGTCCCCGACGATCTCAAATCTACATATCTTTATAAATACGAGCTTGCGTATATTATATAAGCAAATTAAGTACGTGACTTTGACAACTCCCGCAAAGGCTTTTTCGAATTTTTGCCCACTGAGCCATAAATAATTTAGACATATATTAAAATATTTTTTTTTGAATTTTCAGTTCTGACTCTGGCTAATTATTTAATTGTGCCAGGGCCTGGACCATAAAATCCCGACAGAGTTATTCGAATCAGATAAGGCACTGCTGACGTAGCTTACAGTGAGTTTCATAACTGTAGGGCTGGAATGAAAACAAAAGAATGCACACAAGCGAACAAATTGGTTTTACTTTGTCAAACTAATCCTTTGCCATACAAATATTTAAATAAAAGCACACACAAAAAAAGGGGTGAGGCGATAGTATCAATTGCATTTCACAGTTTGCACACGTTTGAGCGGCCTGGCTGAGTGGGTAACGGTAATTGGTAATGTGAGCCAACCGACCGACCCAACTTTGGCCCCACCAAATCCACCGATCCACCGATCCACCGAATCCACCAGATGCATTATGCAAACAGCGTAAAATTGTAAAACGCCAAAGTTGAGCCAATGCAAATGAAGCTCTTCGCCGGATTTTCAGCTCTTTTCAAGCTCGCTATAAGCAGATCAAGGGTGTATATTTCTAGAAGGAGGGTTACGAACCAGATCCCTCTCTCTGGGCCCAATAATATGGCCCAGTTTCCCCTATATACAGAACTTTCTTTGTTCTGCTGTTTGCTCTTCCACTCGCCATTTGTTTGTTTGTCTGGCGTCGAATCGTGAGAAGTGCCGGATTTGGAATTTCTGGGGAGTTTCTGCTCTTTATTATCACTAGATTAGCATCGGAGTAGCCGAACCGATCGGATTGACGTCACCTATGAGCAGAGAAATTCCACTAAAGCTACAGATGTGTCACCTCCGTAGAACATTCGGCGCTAATTAAAAGTCCATTCAACGCTCCGCTGGCCACGGAGAATAGACAATGAGCTGCTGCTGCTTTGGCCGCTGAACCGTAAACCCATACCCATCCGAACTGGGGCACATACCAGATAGTTAGATACTCAGATACCATATACCATATACCAGACCATCAAACTCGCGCCCTGGGAGGCAGTTGCTCAACGGCCGGGTTGCGCTGTCGAAATGCATTTCGTTTGTGCAACGAAAGTGCAATCATCTCCCCGCTGACACACGCACCTTGCGAAATCCACCCACTAAGTGCTACCAGGTAGCTCCACCTCTGCCCTTTGTTCACCATTCAGTGGCGGTCCCATGACTCTTCGGCACAGCGAAAAATTATTGCGTCCAACTTTCTTCGGGGGTTATAAAAATGTTTGATATTTCCACGATAATGGGCTGTAATCTTACTATCTGAAGTTCGTTTGAGGTATCCTGATTTTAGAACTGTAGAAAGATCGTATTACAAATTTCATTTAAGACTGGTTAAAACAATTGAATAGTTTATTTAATCTAAAGATTTGGTTTTAGATCACCATCACATCTTTAGTAGGGCCTAAAAATTAAGAATGATGGATGTGGTACTCAAAACATCTTCTCATTGGGAATCAAATTTTCAATCAAAGTCACTACCCTATTTGGTTTTTAAGTGGGTTTGTCGTGAGTCATGTTTTCGAAAGCTTTTGCTAAGGAAAGTGGAATGATTATCTCATTTCGGATTTGAAAAATGTTTGGGAACTTTTATAATAAAATAAAATGTAAAATATAATAACCATTTTTCTTTGTTTCTGTGCAGATGTCCCATCTTTACTCCACGTTCGCCCAGCTAGTTAGCGTGCACTGCAAGTCGACTGCCGCCGTAGGGGGTCTCCCGGTGAACCAGTGCAAGCACAATCTACTCGGCTACGGTTCCGCCAAGCTGCAGACGCTCTCCGACGCCCAACTGGAGGCACTCGATCCGTATCAGCGCGATGCCAACGAGCTGAGTAAGTCATCTAGCCATCTATCTGCGTGGGAGATCGATCGATTTCCGCGTCAGAACTTCCGCAAAGCGCAGCCGCGACGTGCTAGACGTGATTTCCAGATCTCTAACTCGATTTTCAACTGCTCTTCTCTTCCGCAGTCTGGTCGCAATTTTTGCGAGACCATCCGAGCGGAGCCAGCCTGGTGACCACCCGCCAGCCGCTCCAGCAGCCCTTGCCCACGCCGCCCGCCTCCTCTCTGATCATCCTGACCCGCCAGCAGTTGCCCCACACGATGCCCAGCTCCAGTTCCGGCTCCAATCCGATCTTCGAGAGCGGCGAGCAGAAGCACAAGTACGCCATGGACATGGACATGGCCTACGGCTATCCATCCGCCAGCAGTGAGCTGCCCATGGCCGCCGCTCTGACGGGAGAGCCGCCCAAGAGCTTCCTCACCGGACCCCTGGTGATCCGAGTGCGTCCCGATGGATCGCCCGTGGAGGAGGACAAGCGGATGCCGCTGCCCCGTGACGAGGATCTGCCCTACTTCCGCCTGGGCCTGGCCGCCGCCCAGCCACCCAACAGGCATCGCAAGATCGCCACCATCAGCGCCCTGAAGCAGCAGCACTTCGCCTCCGTGCTGCAGCGCGACCTCCAGCCACCGCATCAGGTGCAGAGGCGTCTGTTCCGCCAGCAGCAGGCGTAAGATCCTGGCCAGAGGTTGCCCAGACCTAGACCTAAGTCCTTGTGTGAGTGCGACAGAGTGAATGTGATAGATAGTGAACGAATGAGCCTTCTAGTTTTGTAGCCTTTCGAGGAGTTTTCTTGAGTGCACTTTGAGCTTTAATGCAATTCGTATCGTATTCGTTTAAGTTTTCTTTAATTTTATTTATTCGCGTGCATTAGCCGTAAGATCAAATAGAGATTCTTGAGAGTAATAAACCGCATGATGATTATCATTGTTACGAACGTATTAATTCTGAATTGTGGGGATGGGGATGGCGATGGGAATGGGGATCTCTGCACAAAGCCAGGAACCGGTTGGTTATGGTAATAACGAAAGTCGCATCTCGGCCAGCCACCAGTTCCTTGTCGCGAGCTTCACTCACCTCGCACCCATATTTAACACGCGAAAGCCTTATTAACCCACATCCACCGAGTTAATGCCGAACAATGGAAATACAATGGGAGCAATCCGGTTTGGCGGGTTCAAAACGCACTCTCAATGCCCCGGCCATTAGAATTTGGCGAGTTTTGGCAATTACAATTCGGTGTAATTTCGCCTGCAACTGGCTTGTCCGGCCTTTCAGGACGGGCCCATCAATCTTGGGCCCATGCAACAAAGGGAGATTATTGCATCCCACGTCACTGGGTATGAATGAGTGATGAGGGGATTTTCCACCGGCCCCTTGCAATTCAAGCACCTTAATTAGCACGAGTTTAAGGCGTGAACTCTAATTAATTTAAAGGTAAAGATTTTGAATTTGACTGACAAGCCCGCTATAAATCGATAGCAATAACGATGGTTTCTTCTTAAACCGCATGCGGCCACACTGAGGCGATCGGAAAATGTTATCGGGTTTTTGGTGATCAGCGGCTTTATTTGCAATAACGTAAGTTCAATCAAAACGTAATATAAAAAACGTAAGGGTACTTAAAAAGTAATAGTCAAAACGTTAGGTTATTTTATGTATGTAATCTTGTCAGGACTTTCATATTTTGGGAGGGGTAGCTTTGACTAACACGGTTGGCAACGCTAGATTTGGAGCCATTGCCCTCCAGTTTTCAAGTGGAAAACTGTAAATTTTATAAATCTGTACGATCATATTTCCAATCTCAGTTTAACAGTTGAGGTAACACCCTGAGAAACTAAAAAAAATACAAATACAGTGTTGTAAACATGACTGCCATAATCATAAAGAACTTCATAGCTTTTAATATAATAGTGATAATTTAAAAGAAATTCTTAACAAAAGTAAAACCATAATAAAAAGCGCATGCGGCCACATCTTAGAATATAAAATTAAACCAAAAAAAAGTTCGGCGACTGCATACTTGACCTACCAATTCTGCCAGTCATCGTTATAACATCTCGCCAGCAATTATGGATGATGCTTACAAAACTTAATCCCACTAAACACTAATTTGTAGTATATAGTACAAAACTTTCACTCTTTCTTTCTATCCTTATTTTAAAAACAAGAAAGAAAGCTAGCTTCGGCCAGCCGAAGCTTATATACCCTTGCAGATAATTCCTATTAATTTACAAATCGCAAAAATGTTAATTTTCCTATTATTTCTCATTAATTTTGCGTTCGTTTCAATGGCAGCTATATGATATAGTAGTTCGATTTTGATAAAATTAAAATCGAAATTCGAAAATATTTGAAAAGAGTTATATCCTAGAGTAGAAGAGAATACAATAAAAACCAACGAAGCAATAATTTATTTCCTATTATATTCCCATAAATTTTCCGATCGTTCCTATGGCAGCTATATGATATAGTCGTCCGATTTTAAAAAAATTTTATTCGAAATTCAGAATTAGACAAAAAATGACATTTCCAAAAGTAGAATGTTATAGGTTCAAAAACACCCAAAATATTATTTTTTTTAAATTTTTTTCCCGATTGTTTCTATGAGACCTATATGATATAGTTGTCTGATCCGACTCGTTCCGACTTATATACTACCTGCAATAGAAAGAAAACTGAGAGACATGGCTAGATCGACTCGTCTAGTGATGCTGATCAAGAATATATATACTTTATGGGGTCGGAAACGTCTCCTTCACTGCGTTGCAAACTTCTGACTGAAATCATAATACCCTCTGCAAGGGTATAACAAAGTTGTCAGTCATTTTGACTGTCATTTAATGTTTAAAACTATCACAAATGTACATATATGTTGCATAACGCTATGGACTATTTATGAAGGTTGCCCTTGGTAACAAGGCAAATAATTTATGCCAGTGCTTACTTCGGCGTTAGCCTACACACCAGCAGTGGCAGGGATCTTTTTTGGCTGCAGCTGATTGCTGATTTTGCTGTGTTAAAAAATAAAAATCCTATGAATTGGAATCTGCTGATATTGCAACCTCTGAAAGCATAAACACATCCCGCATCCAGGAAAATTTATATGTAAAGTTAGTAGTTAGTACTTATATATAACTCTGTACAAAACAAAGTTGACATAAATAAATAGCCATTGCCCTGGTGGTCCTGGTCATACTATGTGCATACATTGCACCAACTGAAATGTGACTATTATGATGATTTATCTGTGTAAGAACTAGAACCTAGAACTGGCTCGGGTCATCCTGAATAGAGTGCTAAAGGGGGACTGGGTTTTTGTCCTTTCCCGAGCAGCTAGACGACTTGCAAGAGAACCCGCAGCCGTTTATCCTCCACATAGACGAGCTCCAAATGGCAGAGCTAAATGAATATTATAACAAATACAATATTGCAAATATTCCTAATGTTATTCCTAACAGATTACTCCTAACAGATTACTCCCAACAATGGCAGTCTATGGACAAAAACACTTGAAGAAAAAGCGGAAGTCTTCGCCACCCACCTTGAATCTCGCTTCCGGCCTAACTGTCTAAATAATATCACTGATAGGGGAAAAGTTAGAAAGGAGCTGGATGATATAAAAGCCTTAAATGACGTCATGGTTAAATCAGACAGCTTCTTCAAACCCAGACCAGTAAATCTAACAGAACTAAACCTTCAAATTGATGCCCTGGTCCCGGGAAAAGCCCCTGGAGATGACCTTATGGACAACAGACTCATAAAAATACTTCCAGACAAGGCAAAAATCTATCTCATCCTGATATTTAACAGCATCCTCCGCACTGGACACTTCCCGGGTCAATGGAAACACGCTATGATAACAATGATTCTTAAACCAGGAAAGACCCCAACAAGAGTAAAATCATACCGCCCAATCAGCCTCCTCTCTGGGTTCTCGAAGCTGTTTGAAAGAATACTGATGACAAGACTATTTGACGTAGAATCCTTCTCCAGAGCCATCCCTCACCATCAATTTGGTTTCAGGAAGGAGCATGGAGCTGAACACCAGCTGGCCAGAGTCACTCAGTTCGTACTAAAAGCATTTGAGCAAGGAGAAGTATGTTCAGCCATTTTCTTAGACATCACGGAGGCTTTTGACCGGGTCTGGCACGACGGACTCAAACTTAAACTGTCTTAGTTACTTCCCATGAGCCTTTTTAGAATTGTAGAAAGTTATCTCCAATATAGATCATTCACAGTTAAATTGAACAACACCTTATCCAAAACTGGAAAGGTTACAGCTGGAGTTCCGCAGGGAAGTAACTTGGGCCCTATTCTCTACTCAATTTACTCATCAGATATGCCCCAACTGATACCTACTAAATACGTCTTTAATGTATCTTGGCCTGAATACCACTCAAAAAATTCACTATTAGCCACTTACGCGGACGATACAGTATTACTCAGCTGTGATAAGATTACAAAAGCAGCTGTAGACCGAAATCAAAGATTTGTGGACCTTTACTGTAAATGGGCTAAGAAATGGGATATTGCCATAAATGGAAACATAACCGGACATGTTCTATTCTCTTTAAAAGGAGAACAGGAAAGCCATTACAAAGGCTAACACCTTTGCCGTCCAATCGGTGAGTGGGATCTACTGAACTCTGATTAATTGAAAAGTAATGATTTTGAATTTGACTGACAAGCCCGCTATAAATCGATAGCAATAACGATGGTTTCTTCTTAAACCGCATGCGGCCACCCTGAGGCGATCGGAAAATGTTATCGGGTTGAAATAACGTAAGTTCAGTAATCAAAACGTAAGTGTACTTAAAAAGTAATAGTCAAAACGTTAAGTTATTTAACTTATGTAATCTTGTCAGGACTTGTTTTATAACGCTATGTACTATTTATGAAGTCGGCTAAGGAAAATTTCCCAGACGATTTATCTGCTGATGAGACTCCTCATATTAGGCCTGTTACATTGGAAGAGTTTCGATTTTTGATTTGATCAATTCCCTGGAAAATAATAAGACTCCTGGACAAGATAAAGTTCATAACAAGCTTATCAAACAGCTTACAAAAAATGCCAGGCTTAATCTTCTTCTCATCTTTAATAATATCCTCAGAACCCATCAGAATGGAAACATGCTCGGATCTCAATGATCCTTAAATCAGGAAAGAGCCCCTCTTGCGGAAAGTCCTACCGTCCAATTAGCCTTTTGTCAGGTTTCTCAAAAATCTTTAAAAAAATCCTCTTGACAAAGCTTTTTGAAGCCGAACTCTTTGCCAAGGCTACCCCAAATCATCAATTCCGAATTAAAAAGGAACACGGGCAGAGCACCAACTTGCAAGAGTCACAAACTTCATTCGAAAGGCATATGAGGATAAGGAAGTTTGCTCCCCAACTTTCATAGACATTTCAGAGGCTTTTGATAGGGTTTGGCATGAGGGACTACTTGCTAAACTCGCAAAACTCTACTTCATCTTAAAAAACTACCTCAAAGACAGAACATTTACGGTGAAAGTCACCAGTGAGGCAATCTCCAGGGAGGGCAAAATCATGCCCTTGTCCTGGGCTATCCCACATCAACCCTATCGTCCCTGGTGGAGCAGGGTTTCTTCGCGGTGAAGCGTTCCAGCGATAGCTGTGCCACGCCGATTTGGCAAAAGCCCGGAAATGTTCCGCCCCTGCCGCACCAGGTGTCCGAGTCAATCAGCTTGGAGGATCTGGGCGGTATACTCAGAAGTACATCTGGAGATAAAGTTACATAAAATTTTTTCTAAGATTTTTGATTCTGGGTTAGGTCTGAACCCAGAACTGGCTCAGGTCATCCTGGATAGAGTGCTAAAAGAGGACTGGGTTTTCGTCCTTTCCCGAGCAGCTAGACGACTTGCAAGAGAACCCGCAGCCGTTTTTCCTCCACATAGACGAGCTCCAAATGGCAGAGGTAAGTGAATATTATGGCAAATACAATATTGCAAATATTCCTAATGTTATCCCTAACAGATAACTCCCGATGTCGAACACTACAAGGCTAACACCTTTGCCGCCCAGGGGCGGAAACCTTATGAACATACATATTTTTCCGAAATGTGACCCACATTTCAGAGAGTGACCCTAGAAGTGGTCGGCGAGGCACTCGCCTCCTTAATGGCACGATCTCTGTCACCATGCGGTAGAGAGGAAAAACAAAATGACGATCACCGTCTGGGCCTGCCAACCTTTGTATTTTGTATTGTATTCACAGTGCTGTCAACTTGTGTAAAATCTAGAAATCGATAACATTTGGCCGTCTTTTTGAGCGGCAGGCGTTCACACTGGCAATCAGCTGTTTTTCCTTACAGCAACAACTCAAAATAAATATTATTCTCGGAGAAATTGTTTCTTCCCGGAATTGTTGGCAGAAGTAAAGAGCGATAAGGTAAGCTAGAATAATATTTATATGTAAGTCACATAAGTACTTTGGAAATTACTGCGTAAGCCTGTGACGCGGCAAGGTGATTCCCAAATGGAAATGATTCATTGCCTCTTTGCCCGAAATACTATATATCTGAATAATCCACGTGCGTGTGTGTGTGTTTTCAGATATACACCCTCGATCCGAAAAACATCTGGCTGGCTTTTTTAATTCTCCGCTGCGGAATTTATCGATTTGTCAAGCAGGCCGCGGCAGTCGGGTCAGAAAAAGGGGATTCCCAGGTAAACTGTGACCGCAGTCGCTGACCAAAGATCGCTGCCTATGATCAAAACCGGTCAGTGCTACAACGGCGCCATGTCTGAGGAGGAGTCGTTCGTCATTCTGGGCAGCTCGCCGTACTCCTCGCTTCTGCCGGAAGGAAACTCCCTGGTCTTCGACGGCCTGGACGACGTTCAGGAGACCAAGGAGCCCCCTGTGGCCGCGACAAGCATGACTGCCTCGCAGGTGGACTCCGGGTCATCGCAGCACCAGTCGCTGGCGGCCAGCTTCATCCTGGGCGAAGTGCAGTCCGAGGTCCTAAAGGTGGGCGCCTGAATACGCTGTGCCAGCGTCTAACCCCAATCCAAAAAATCCCAATCCTCCCACAGAACAGTGTTTACTCGCAGTTTCCCAGCCTATGCTCGCTGCAGGCTTCCGCCGAGGATGTGGTCAAGCTGCAGAACATGATGACGGAGTACATAACCCTGAAGAGTAAGTGAAAAGGCAGCCTGAAACAAGCAATAACCCCTCATTATCCCCTAGACACACTTGACAAGGTCAACCACACCATGCTGGAGTACCACAAGTTGACCCAACAGTGGCGCCAGGAGGCCGCCGACCGGGAGCAGCAGTACAAGGAGCAGCTGCAGGCGTGCCAGGGGCAGATCGAGCAGCTTCGCGAGGAGAACCAGAAGTTGAAGGAGGACCTGGAGACCAAGATGGTTCAGATCGAGGTGGTGCAGGACTTTAGCCAGAAGGAGCAGGACGAGCTGAGGCAGAGCATATCCGAGAAGAAGTCGCTGATTGACAATATGCGCGTGGAGATCGACAAGCTGCAGCAGCTGAAGATGGTATGTGTGTGCCCCGGATACAGGCTTGCATTCATGAGTACACACCACTATCTAGACTTCGAACTGCGCAGTATCTTGAAATGAAATAACCGAACCCCGGGTCTCCCCGGCCTTTATCTTTGCAGCACTCGTTCGAGTTCGTACCTGAGGAGGGAGACAAAACGGATCAGGATCCCGACAAGGCCTTGAACTATGTGCAAAGGGACGAGCACGATCGCCAAGTGCGCGAGTTGCAGCGCCAGCTCTCTAAGCTGGTGGCGGAGAACCTGGAGATTAACGACATGGTGTGTACATACCGAATTCTCGGTTCAACTAAACTCGAACTCTAACTACGCCTTGCAGAAAAAGACCTACATTGAGGAGATCGACTGTCTGAAGGTCAACTACACCAGTGCCCAGGAGCTGATGGCCAAAATGCAGCGTGACATCGACGAACTGAAGGCCAAGGACGTGCAGAAGCAGGAGGTGATCGAACATCTGCAGACCCAGAACGACATATACCGCAGGGACTTTGAAATGGAGCGGGCAGATCGCGAGAAGAACGCTGGCGAGAAGGATCAGTATCTAATGGACTTGCGGTCGCTGCAGAGGAGGAACCAGGAGCTCATCGAGGCGCTGGCCGAGTCGCACAAGGCCAAAAAGTCGGCCTCGCCGTCGCCCTCCTCTTCCCTGAGTTCCAGCAGGAGCAGTCTGCGGGAGGAGCAGAGACCAGTAAGAGTATGCTTGCTGATTCCAGAATCTTTAAAATAAATGCTAACTTGGCCCCGTTTTTTAGGTTCTCGAGCCAACTGGAGCCGCCTCACGGACTTCGGACGCCACTCTGCGCTGTCCCATCTGCTCAAAGTCCTTCAACAACTTAAGTGTGCTTCAGAGCCACGTCAACGATTGTTTGGACAAGAATTAACCACAATTACTAACCATTATTATATTTTTGTAGTCTACATTGTATTGTTTAAGCCTAAAGATTGGCCAACCGGCTAATTGCACATTATAAAAAACACAGAAAAAACACTAATTACAGTTACGTTAGCAATGAAACGATGTGCGACTCAGAGTTTGCTTCGAATGGGCGGCATTTCCAGAGACCAGACGCGATGCACATCGGAATTGGCCACCAGGTTGCTCAGCACATTAACATCTAGGGATAAAATAGTTCAAATCAGCTGGGTTTCTTTGTAATCACACTCTGCTGCTCACCGTTTGTGCGTGCAAACTGCTGCAACGTGTTGCGGATATCACAAATGGGAATGGCTGTGTTGATATTCGGGTAGACAATGTCGTCCAACTTGATGTTGGACACACACACGCCCAGGATGCAGCCGTTCTGATCAAACATGGGGCCTCCACTTTGGCCGGCCTGCACACTGCCATCGGACATGATGGCCCCGGTGTCGCACTTTATGATCCGACCTTGGAAAATCGACGGATTGAAGTCGTGCTTGAAGCTAAAGTTCACATAGTAAGGGAACCCCGCATTGTACACCATTTGGCCCACAGTGGCGGGCGTCCTGGCCAGTCGCACGCAGCAGCGCTCCGGCACATCCTGCGGAGCTGTGAGCAGCGCCAGGTCGAAGGGTCGATCGCTGTCCGGATTGCTCCAAATCACCTCGGAGCGAAACTCTCTATCGGCTGAACGGCAATTAACCGTCTCGTTGCTCTGAATAAAAGTGGATAATTAGATGGATTCAGGTTGAGATAAACGCATATTTACCTGCCCCACCACATGCGCACATGTGAGGATAAAGTGCTTGTTGTGGACTCGTATAAAAGTGCCGGTGCCTTGTTGGCCCGCCGACTCAATAACCACAATTGTGCGCTCCCCTGGAAGGTAAAATATATGTGATTAGTAATCACTGATTACTGACAATGATTGTGCTTGTTTTACAGGCAAAGTTCGAGGGCTCCCGAGTCGGCTGGAATGTGGAGGTGGACATGCCCAGCTGCTCCATGAAGTTGCGCAGCAGGTATCCAAAGTTGGCGGCCAGCGTGAGGTTGACGTTCTCCTGCTGCCGCTGGAATGAAGTGCATATCACAATGCCGATGAGGCGTCTGCAAAGGGGAAGTTAGTCTCTGGCTCATCAAATATGTCATATAAACCTACAGCTTGTTGTTGAACACGGCGGAACCTTCACATCCCAAGGGCAAGGCATTGGAGATGGCGAACAGACAGCCACTGCGTCCCATCACATTGGAAACCTTGCCAATGCTGATCGTCTTGTAAAAGTTCTCCAGTCCAAAGGGAGAGCACATGACCAGCACATCGTCCAGCGTTTGCATGGGCTGCAGGTGTCGCAGGTAGTTGCCAATGTGGGCTAGAAACCGCTTGAAGGATTCCTCCTTGTCGGGCTTTCGCATCCCGAGTACCACGAAGCTGGAGCGGAGCACCTGGGCCTCTTCGCCGGAGTCTGCGGTGAGCAGGATGTGGTGCAGGTTGCGGGACACCTCGGCGGCACAGAAGACGTACAGTGGATGAGCTGTGAACCGGGAGAGGATGTGGGATTGCCTGGAACCCGAGGCAGCATTCTGCTTTGGCCTGCGCTGCTGTGGATCAAAGGTGACCAGGAAGTTGAGCGACCTGATCCGCTGACCACCACCCTCCTCCTTCTCCTCATCGTCCTGGACATTCAGCAGCTGACCCCGCTGCAGTCTGTCGAGGATTCCTTTGTTCTCCGCGCCTTTGTCTCCGTCCAAAACCAAGTGCGGCTGCAGAATGCTTCCCGAGCTGATGATCACCTCGTTGTTGATTATGATGGCAGACTGCTTCGTGGCCGGCGGACTGGTGACCTCCAGTAGGGCGTGGCGTATCTTGAGCAGCATTATCTTGGAAATTGATTAGGATTAGCCGCGCGACATGCTTAACTGCGTTTCCTCCACAGATTGTCTTTGTTTATGCCCGGATTAGCCATTCTCTGCGGTTCTCAGCTGTTTGCGAACCCAAAACAATGCAGAATTGTCATTCTCCACGGTCAACAGCTGTTTGCGACCCAAAACATTGCGGACTTGCCATTCGCAGCGGAGTAATCAGCTGAAGGGATTTAAATTCTTGAGAGGATTTGCATAATGCTGCCCCTGCGCTGGAGTTTGCTGAAGCCGCTCCAGGATGGCCTCCGACAGAGTCGCCGCCACCTGGCGCAGAAGAACCTCCTGGAGCTCACGGATCGGGGCTTTTTCCAGGGCATTTTCCCCGACACAGCGGCGTGAGTTATGAGGCACCTTCAATCTTCAATCCGCACTTCATCTATGAAAACTCCTGCCCCACAGGCCCAAGATGAAGCAGCTCTTCACCAGCGGCCAGCAGAGCATCTACGCAGGATTCGATCCCACCGCCGACAGCCTGCACGTGGGCAATCTGCTGGTGATCATGGGCCTCATCCACTGCCAGAGAGCCGGTCATCGGCCCATTGCCCTCGTGGGCGGAGCCACCGGGCTCATCGGGGATCCCAGTGGCCGCAAGACGGAGCGCAACCAACTGGGCGAGTCTGTGATCGAAACCAATCTGAAGGCCATCGAGCAGCAGCTCAGAAGGGTGTTTGAGAACCACGAGAACTGCCTGTGGGACACGAGCAAACACAAATCTCCACTGGCTCCGCTAACGTGAGTATGTAAAGCATGTCGGGCTCCCCTAAACTAATATAAATCCCCATCAGAATCGTGAACAATGCCGACTGGTACGCCGACCTGCAGCTCATCGACTTTGTGGCCAACATGGGCCGGCACTTCCGCATGGGCTCCATGCTCTCCAGGTCCTCGGTGCAGTCGCGCCTGGAGTCGGAGGACGGGATGAGCTTCACCGAGTTCACCTACCAGATCTTCCAGGCCTACGACTGGCTGCACCTGCTGCGCCGCCACAACTGCTGCTTCCAAATGGGCGGCTCCGATCAGACGGGCAATCTGATGACAGGCCACGAGCTCATCAGTCGCGTGGAGCGGAAGCGAGAGGTCTTCGGCTTAACTCTGCCCCTGGTGACCACGCAGGAGGGCGACAAGTTCGGCAAGTCGGCGGGCAATGCCGTTTGGCTGGACGGGAACAAGACCTCGCCCTTCGCTCTCTACCAGTTCTTCCTGCGCATGCCAGACTCCGAGGTGGAGAAGCTCTTGAGGCTGTTTACCTTCATCCCGATGCCCCAGGTGGAGCAGCTGATGCGGGAGCACGCCAGGGAGCCGGAGAAGCGGAAGGCGCAGACTCTGCTGGCCGAGGATGTGACGCTGCTGGTTCACGGAGGTCTGATTCCTATCTAGTCTTCCAGTTATTATATTTAATACAATGTAATTCCGCAGAAAGTGGCCTCAAGCAGGCGGAACGCGTGACCAATGCCCTGTACAAGGGCAATGTGGAGGGCCTGGCGGAGCTCAACCTGGCCGAGATCCAGCAGACCTTCCAGGGCGCCACCATGGTGGACCTGCTGACCGAGCCCGGCATGTCCATCCTGGAGTTGGCCATGAAGGCCAAATGCTTTCCCACCGAGAGTGAGTTCATGATAAGGATAGACAATTCATATACATATATAAACAAATTTGTATTGTTTTTCAGCCGATGCCGTGCGCATTATAAACGCAGGCGGCTTCTATGTGAACCAGAAGCGGGTGCAGAACATCGCCGAGGTGCTCACCACGGGCATCCACATCCTGAGGAATGGGGTTTCCCTGCTGCGCGTGGGCAAACGCAACTTCTACATCGTCCGCTGGCAGTAGCGATAATTGTAACTTGTATTTTTCGTTAAATAATCATAGGTTGGCTTACATACAAGATCTTAGGCTAAGATTTATGTGGCTCTGGGCGCGGGCTTCTTGCGCCACCTCTTCCGCGCCAGCATCTCCTTGGCCTTCTCCTTCTTGAGGTCCTTGTCGTAGAACTTGCCGCTCTTGGTGAAGGTCTTCTGCTCGTTGCGCATCTCGGCCAGCTTCCGGTTCTTCTGCTTGATGATGTTCTTCTTGTTCGCGGACTTCTTCTTGCCCGCCTCGGAGATCTGCACCTTGATGTTGCGGCCCTGCAGCTCCGTGTTGTGCAGCTGGAAGGCCTTCTGGAAACCGGGCAAATCGGCCATCTCCACGAAGGCGAAGCCACCGCGTCGCTTCTTGGGGATGCGGATGGACTTCACGGTGCCGGCGGCGGAGAAGTGCAGCTCCAGGTCGTCCTTGGTGGACTCGAAGTTCAGGTTGGTCACGTACAGAACGTGTCTGTTGGTCTTGGAGGCGCCGCGGAGCAGGGAACTCAGCTGGTCACTGGTAATTTCGCCATTTTCCGCAGTTTCCGTCTCCTCTTCCTCGGATCCGGAGGCAGCGCTGCCCTCTGCCTCGCCATCGGACTTGTCCCTATCATCCTCACTTTCTGGATCGCTGGGATTCCGGCCGTCCTCCTTGTCCACGTAGGTGCCCTCGAAGATCTCCTTGCGTTTCTGGTCGTCGAAGTTGCCCAGCAGATCGGCGCTGTCGTCGTTGACCGTCCGTCGCACCCGCTTGGGCTTGAAGAAGGACTCCACCTCGTAGTCGCTGTCGGAATCGCTGGCCATCGTTTTCTGGAGAGGATTCTGATTCACACAGATGCGCGGACATCAGCACGTGGGATTCCCTGTGACTGGTGGTTAGTGCTGCCTGCGTTGGGCGTACTTTCCAACACTGGCCAAGTGCGCGCCGTGAAATTCGAATTCCGGATGACCAAAACCGGTTAAGTTTGCGGGAGCCGAATTCAGAGTTATTTGCTATTTATGCTAATCCGCGGTAATAACGACTTAATAGTTATGCGGGTGACCGGTTCGCTCTTATCAGCCAAAAATTGATCGTGCGCCGCTGACAATTGATGAACGGCCCGCAAAACGGGAATATTCCGCGCAGATCATCATCAGATAGCTATAGATAAGTCTATCCGCCAGTGGGGCGATAATTAATGCCTGCAGAATGACTGCATCAATGTCTTTTGTTTAATTAAGATAAACGGCCGCTGGGAGCAAGTTATGAATAAAATTTATGCGATTGGTCAATCCGGCCGGCGAAATGTCAGGAGATAGCTATAAAAGCGCAGTTTTCGGCTGCAGGTAGTCAGATTTGTTTCGCAATCTATCAGCACACACATCCCCCAAAACCAACCATGAAGTTCGTGGTAAGTGGCGATATCTCAGAGTCATTTCTTGGTACTTTATCAATTGTGATCTATTCCACAGATTGTTCTCGCCTGCCTTTTGGCTGTGGCCTTTGCCAACGAGGAGGCCGATGTCCTGAAGAGCGACGCCGAGGTAAACGTGCTGGACTTTAACTATGCCTACGAGCTGTCCAACCACATCCGCGCCGTCCAATCTGGCGCCTTGAAGGAGCACGATAACTGGGTGGTTTCGGGCGAGTACGAATATGTGGCCCCCAACGGCAAGACCGTCAAGGTCGTCTACACCGCCGATGAGACCGGCTACCACCCCAAGGTCGTCGAGGCCTAATCCTCTAGAGATTTCCCTTAGCCCGATATAACAATAAAAATCCACTGCACTTTGAATTTCCGTTACTTTCGGTTCCCTGAGAATGGTCACTCTTCTTCTTCCTGCCGCAAAAGTCCAGTGTTGGAAAACTATTCGCGAATTTTCGCTTGGTTTGTTTTTAGGTGGATTAATTTATGTTTAAAAATAATTAGGTTGAAATAAAAGCATGTCCGCGGAGTCTTCAGCCATGGACTGTGCCAAGAGCAGTGAGGGAAAAGTGGAGGAAGTCCAGGATACGCCTGTGGAGGAGGGGAAACCAGCCGGGTCGCCGGCGGCAGAGGCAAAAAGATTGGCTTCTCCTGTGCCGGATGAACTGGCGGAAAAAGCAGCAGATGATGTGGATATGCAGGACCTGACCCTCGAAGATCCAGTTCCCGCTCCCAGTGATGCAATGGAGGCGACGGAGTCAACCGGTGAGGAGCGAAAGGAGGAGGAATCAGGGGATTCTAAGGAGGTGGAGGAACCCAAGGAATGTATCGATATTCCCAGCAGTCCGGTGCCCGAGGAAGATCTAGGAGATACAGAAATCACAGCGGATAAGCCTCCTCTGGAAGTGGATTCGGACAGCAGTGTGGAGCTCATCGAGAGTCCAGCCAAGTCGCCCTCCTCCAACGAAAGTGCGGCAGATGTGCCCAAGTCGGATGAAGTGGATGCGGCCATGGAACCAAAGGCCAAGGGGGCCGAGGAACTGGCTGACAGCAGCATCGAACTGATCAGCAGTCCCACATCCGAGAGTTCTCCCGAAAAAGATGGGGAATCTAAGGAAAAGGAGGCGGAAAAGGAGGAGGAGGCAGAGAAGGAACAGAAGGAAGAGCACCAAGAAGAAGATTGGCCAAAAACAGATGAGCGAAGCATGGAGGTGGACCAGGAGGTTACCCTTAAACCTACAGCAGATCAATCCGAAGATGGAGCTGAAGATCCAAGCGTTACTCCCATGGAAATCGACAAGAAAGACGACATCCTGGAGGTGGAGCTGGAAAAGACCACAGAGGCTCCAAAAACCACAGAGGATGAACTGCCCTCGGATGGCGACATCTTCTACGGCAAGGACTGCGTCAACTGCAACTGCAAGAGGCTCCACAAACAGTTCGTGCTGACCAGCATGGGCACCTTGAATTTCTACAAGGTGGTCAGGAAGACCTCCAGGCAGCAGTTCCTCTGCATGGGATGCCACGACACCGCCATGGACTTGTATGAGGTGCCCTAGTTACTAAAAGTTTACTAAACTCAGGATTACCAAGTTACTTTCTTTGATTTTAGGAATATGCCGGACAACTCGTAGAGAAACAGCCGCTGCTGCTGAAGGACTTCCAGCAGGATCACGCCGACTTTGTGGCCCTGGACAGCAGCGACGAGGAGGAGGAGGAGCAGCCAGGTGGGAGTGTGGAACAAATCCCCTAGAAGCCACTAAATTCAGTAATTATAATCCACAGATAAGTCGGAGTTTTCCACCAGCCAACTGCAACTGATTGAAGATGAGCTGGAAGATGCCATCAAGAGTGTGCTGCACAAGGTGGAGTTCAGGAACCAGATGGCCTGGTCAAAGACCATTCTGCAGGCCAAGGCGGACCACCTGGAGCGGCAGTTTGCCCTGGCAGATGCGGAACTGGAGAAGGTTCAGAGCACGGCGGACAAGATGCACTGCGCCCTGTACAATTCCTGTCCAGTGGTGCACAAGAATCTGCCCGCTTTGGAGCTCGAGTCCAGTGTGAGTGACTATGTGGTGAGTGGTCTGGAATATTCCAGCTTTATCCCCTTTTAAATCCCCCTTATTTGCTGTAGCAACAAGTGCCGCCTGCTGGCGAAATCGTGCGGCCGCCCATCCAACTGGGCGAGACCTACTATGCGGTGAAGAACAAGGCCATCGCCAGCTGGGTGTCCATCAAGGTGATAGAGTTCTCCGAGAGCACCGCCATCAACGGCAACACCATGAAGAGCTACAAGATCAGGTACCTCAACACGCCGTACCAGATGATGAAGATGGTGACGGCCAGGCACATGGCCTACTTTGAGCCCCCGCCAGTGCGGCTGACAATTGGTTGGTCTTTTGTTGCTCTTAAGTCTCTCGGTTGCTAACATATTCCGTGTTCTTTAGGCACCCGTGTGATTGCCTTCTTCGACGGCACCACCTTGTCGCGCGGCAAGGAGAAGGGCGTGGTGCAGAGCGCCTTCTATCCCGGTATTATTGCCGAGCCACTGAAGCAGGCCAACCGCTTCCGCTACCTGATCTTCTACGACGACGGCTACACGCAGTACGTGCCGCACCGCGACGTCCGCCTCGTCTGCCAGGCCTCCGAGAAGGTGTGGGAGGATGTGCACGCCGGCTCGCGCGACTTCATCCAGAAGTACGTGGAGAAGTACTCCGTGGACCGGCCCATGGTGCAGTGCACCCGCGGCCAGAGCATGAACACCGAGTCCAACGGCACCTGGCTGTACGCCCGCGTCATCGACATCGACTGCAGCCTGGTGCTCATGCAGTTCGAGGGCGACAAGAACCACACGGAGTGGATCTACAGGGGTTCTTTGCGCCTGGGGCCTGTTTTTAAGGAGACCCAGAACACCATGAATAGCTCGAGCTCCCAGCAGATGCGGGTGCCAAGGGTGAGCTACTATTTTATTTATTAAAAAGTTTATTTAATCTAGTTTTTATCCAGCGCACGGAGCCCTTTATTCGCTACACCAAGGAGATGGAGTCCAGCAGCCAGGTGAACCAGCAGATGCGGGCCATCGCCCGCAAGAGCAGCTCCTCGGGGCAGAACGCGGCAGCGGCCACAGCGCCCGCATCCTCGCCAGCCACCTCGACCGCGGGTCGAGGCAGCAGCGCCAGCACCAGCGTGAAGCACCTGAACAACTCGACCATCTACGTGGACGACGAGAACAGGCCCAAGGGCCATGTGGTCTACTTCACCGCCAAGCGGAACCTGCCGCCCAAGATGTACAAGACCCACGAGTGCAACCCCAACTGCCTGTTCAAGATCGTGCATCGCCTGGACAGCTACAGTCCGTTGGCCAAGCCGCTGCTCTCCGGCTGGGAGCGCCTCGTGCTGCGCCAGAAGACCAAGAAGTGCGTGGTCTACCGGGGACCCTGCGGCAAGAGTCTGCGCAACCTGGCCGAGGTGCACATGTACCTCCGCTCCACCGAGAACGTGCTCAACGTGGACAACTTTGACTTTACGCCGGATCTGAAGTGCCTGGCCGAGTATTCCATTGATCCCTCGATCGTGAAGGACACGGACATTTCGAAAGGGCAGGAGAAGATGGCCATTCCGCTGGTCAACTACTACGACAACTCGCTGCCGCCGCCCTGCACCTACGCCAAGCAGCGCATTCCCACGGAGGGGGTGCACCTGAATCTCGACGAGGAGTTCTTACTATGCTGCGACTGCGAGGACGATTGTTCGGTAAGATGGTACTCCCTAGCACATTAAACAATATTCCAATGTTATTTCCTCTCCTAGGACAAATCCAAGTGCGCCTGCTGGCAGCTCACCGTGGCGGGCGTGCGGTACTGCAACCCCAAGAAGCCCATCGAGGAGATCGGCTACCAGTACAAGCGGCTGCACGAGCACGTGCCCACCGGGATCTACGAGTGCAACTCGCGCTGCAAGTGCAAGAAGAACTGCCTCAACCGGGTGGTCCAGTTCTCGCTGGAGATGAAGCTGCAGGTGTTCAAGACCTCCAACAGGGGATGGGGCCTGCGCTGCGTGAACGACATCCCCAAGGGCGCCTTCATCTGCATCTATGCGGGTCATCTGCTCACGGAAACGATGGCCAACGAGGGCGGCCAGGATGCCGGGGACGAGTACTTTGCCGATCTGGACTACATCGAGGTGGCGGAGCAGCTGAAGGAGGGCTACGAGTCGGAGGTGGACCACTCGGAGCCGGATCCGGAGGAGGACAACGGGGGACCCGACGCCGAGGACGACGACGACTTCCGGCCGAACTACCACTACCAGCGCAAGATCAAGCGCACCTCCAGGAGCAACTCCACGCAGAGCAGCGAGTTGGACTCGCAGGAGCGGGCGGTGATCAACTTCAACCCGAACGCCGATCTGGACGAGACGGTGAGGGAGAACTCGGTGCGGAGGCTTTTCGGCAAGGACGAGGCGCCCTACATCATGGACGCCAAGACGACGGGCAACCTGGGTCGCTATTTCAACGTGAGTTTGGGCTTGGGAATAGCTTGGTTTTCTTTATTTCTAACTGCCTGTTTTCGCCCTTCTTTTGTCACAGCACTCGTGCAACCCCAATCTCTTCGTGCAGAACGTCTTTGTGGACACTCACGACCTGCGGTTTCCCTGGGTGGCCTTCTTCTCGGCCGCCCACATCCGCTCCGGCACCGAGCTGACCTGGAACTACAACTACGAGGTGGGCGTGGTGCCCGGCAAGGTGCTCTATTGCCAGTGCGGCGCCCCCAATTGTCGCATCCGTTTGCTCTAAGTCCACATTTAATTTTAACTTTAAGTGAAATTGTACAATTAAAAACAAATTGAATTCCAAGGTTGAATAGTACCCGATATTAAAAATTATTATTCCTCCTTTGTATTATACAATTTCACATTTTTCAAAATGCATATTATTTTTCAAATTATTTAAAAAAAAAAAAGGCCGGGGATTCACACAGATTTTAGTATTTTCTCAAAATTTCTGCTCCATTATTAGATTGTGTAAAAATGTATCAAAGGAACCCGAGTAACAAATTGTATCCTAGTCTTAAAAAAAACACAAAATTTAAAATAACAACGTTAAAAAATAAACTGAAATCTTGAAATTAACGGTATATTCCGGATTGGTATTTTTACGAAACCGCTGTAGTATTTAGTGGTATTTATCTCCCTGCCGCGCCGGTATTTTTAATCGTTATCCGCGCGGCCACACTATCAAATTTAGCAAAAAAAGTTTAGGCGTTTTTAAATTCGAGAGTTGCGAAAATTCGGGGCCGCAATGCGCCAAGCTCACCTGTAAGAGGCTCCCAGCTAGCGTCGTCCCGTCGCAGGTGCACCGGTGCACAGAAGAAGGCAGCGCGGCAGTCCGCTTTCCGCCGACCGCCTTCCGCTGACTAATAACTCATCCGCCCCGTGGGGTGAAAAATCGATTTGGTGATAACAGGCTTACGCTTACGAGTTCTCGCACTGCTAGTCGGATTCCAGTGGCCGCCAGCAGCTCATCATGAACGTGGACTTTGCGAAGGTGTGCGGCAAGCACATAGGCGTCTACGAGGCCTACTACAAACAGGTAGGCGCCACGCCCCCATCCTCTGGAGGTCCACCCACTGCCAACTAACCACCGAGACCCACCCCCTATTGATTTTTGCAGATTGACCCCAAAGCCACCGGGGCAATCGAGGCCATGACGGCGGCCAAGTTTCTGAAGAAGTCGGGCCTCAGCGACGTGGTGCTGAGCAGGATCTGGGACCTGTCCGACCCCAACGGCAAGGGCTTCCTGGACAAGCCGGGCTTCTTCGTGGCCCTCAAGCTGGTGTCGCTGTCGCAGGCGGGCCAGGTGGCCAACATGAACAACATCTACCTGGACACTGCCAACCCGCCGAAGGTGGTGAGTAATCCTCCCGAAATGGGCAAAACCACACATGACAAATCAATCATTTCTCGCCAGGGTGAACTACCAAAAACTCCAATGCCGTCGCGCATCCAGACGGTGCCGGTGGCCAGCGGCGGAGTGGCCAGCGGGGACTGGTCCATCGGGGTGATCGACCGGCTGAAGTACGAGCAGCTCTTCGAGTCGCTGCATCCCCACCAGGGCATGCTGCCGGGCAACAAGGTCAAGGGCGTGCTGATGGACTCCAAGCTGCCGATGAGCATTCTGGGCACCATCTGGGACCTGGCCGACCAGGACAAGGACGGCAACCTGGACAAGCACGAGTTCGTGGTGGCCATGCACCTGGTCTACCAGACGCTGCAGAAGCGCACCATTCCCAGCGTGCTGCCGCCCGAGCTGCGGAAGCCCGGAGGCGCAGGACCGCCTCCCAAGCCAGCCATGCCCCCGCCTCCGTCGGCCGCTGCGATGCCTCGCGCTCCCAGCGGTGAGGGATTCGGGGACGGCGGCTTTGTGGCCAACTTCCCCAAGGACATTGCCCCGCCGGCGGCCATTCCGCCGCTCCCGGTGGCCGTGCCGCCCATGACGCGCATTCCGCCGGTGGGCGCGGTCAGCTCGCAGCCGCTGATCCAGACGGATCCGCTGATACCCATCGGCGCCCCGCCCTCGGTGACGGCGAACGCCGACTGGGTGGTCACCCCGGCGGAGCTGAGCCGCTTCGAGGAGATCTTCCGGCAGTCCGACCTGGACAAGGACGGCCTGGTCTCCGGCCTCGAGGTGAAGGACATCTTCATCAAGTCGGGTATTCCGCAGCGCAGCCTGGCGGACATCTGGTAGGGATTATCTACTTATATTTTACTAGTATACATACTAATCCTTATCGCAGGGCTCTGTGTGACACCAATCAGTCCGGCAAGCTGACTGTGGAGCAGTTCGCCCTGGCCATGTGGTTCGTGGAGCGCAAGCAGCGCGGCGTGGATCCGCCCCATGTGCTCAACGCCAACATGGTGCCGCCCTCGATGCGCTCCACTGTGTCTGGCGTCGACCTGCAGCCGCAGGAGGTGAAGCCCACCTACTCGAATCCGGAGCTGGAGATGATCTCCAAGGAGATCGAGGAGCTGGCCCGCGAGCGCCGCGTCCTGGAGACGGAGATCGCCCAAAAGGAGGCGGATGTGCGCGTGAAGAACGGCGAGGTGCGCAGTCTGCAGGTATGTTGGTTTTAATACTTATCCTAGATTAAAAACTAATGCTTTATTTGCCTTCTATCCAAACAGAGTGAACTGGACACTCTCACCGCCACGCTGAAGCAGCTGGAGAACCAGCGAGGAGAGGCCCAGAAGCGGCTGGACGACCTGCAGGCTCAAGTAGTTATTTGCATGATTCCCCGGGGGCCACTGCTTACCTTTCGCTCGCTCCTTACGTTTTATTTTACATTTAAATTGCAACTTTGGTTTCCTTTCTTTATCATGTTCCCCTCTGACACTCCGACACTCTGTTAACAATTGGCTAAACCCCTACTAAACTGGTGAATGCACTCACACTTACAATTACGATCACTTAAAAGGTTAGCCACAATACGGCCGTGCTGGCCAACGTAAGTCTTGACATATCGCGCACCAACGACCAGGTTTGTTTCAGTTCCTCATGATTTCTGTATATATTGCTTTGTGTTTTGTGTTTGTTGGCCTACGTGTTGTGCGAAACCCTCGGGATAACTCCATCTACCTATTATTGATCTTAAAAACTTGGCTACTTTCAGGTGACCAAGATCCGCGACCAGTGCCACATGCAGGAGGAGACCATCAACGAGCAGGAGGGCGAGCTGAACGCCAAGCGCTCGGAGCTGCAGAAGCTCAAGGACGAGGAGACGTCGCTGCAGAAGGAGTACGACAGCAACAACCGCGAGCTCTCGAAGCTGACCAACCACCTGCAGGCCACCCAACTGCAGATCAGCTCGGTAATATTCACTTTTCTCCATCATAAACAGAAACTAATGGTTAAACTCCAAAGGTCCGATCGATGGTCACCCAGCTTCTGGAGACGCAGCGCCAGATGACCGATGCGCTGCTCATTTGCAGGGCTGCCATGGAGAACCAGAACGCCGAGCTCGTCTCCGAGTACCAGCTGAAGATTGAGCCGGACTTTGACGAGGCGCGCAAGACGCTGACCAAGGAGCTGCCGCTGCCCAAGGACGATCCCTTCGAGGAGAACAACAGCGGGGCCGCCAACCAGGCCACCAACGGCTTTGGCAGCGACCCCTTCTCCGGCCAGCAGACCAGCAAGCCGGCCATCTCCACCGGCTTCGACGACAGCTTCAACATGAGCTCGACCTTCGACAGCGGCTTCGATGCCTTTGGTCAGAGCGGAGCGGGCTCAGCCTTCGGCCAGACCCAGCGGGATCCCTTCGGCTCGGATGCCTTTGCGGCCAACAAGAGCAGTGCTGTTACCCCGGATGTAAGGTTATCGAATAGGGAATACAGGAAATCGGAGCTAAATCAATTTACTTATCCTTTACAGCCCGGAAAAGACGACTTTGGCAGCGATCCCTTCGCCGCCCTGCACGCGCCAACTGGCCAGGGTCAGGTGCTCAGTCCCAACGCCCAGAAGTCGGGTCCGCCGCCCAGACCGGAGTCTCCTAGTCCAGCATTGCCGCCAAAGAAGTCCAAGGTGCCGCCCCCACGACCAGCGCCACCACGAGCCTCCCAGGTAAGAGCTGCAGTCTCTGTTTATTGGATAGATTCTAAATATCTGATTTTCCCAGCCCACGAGTGGTTTTGGAAGCGGCGGCGGAGGAGGAGGCGGATTCGCCGACTTTGACGACTTCGACAATAAGGTTGGTACCCCACAATTCAGTGTCCGCTGGGATCGGTGGTAATGCATGCGCCCCGCACCCGCACTAATCCAATCCTTGGTTTTACGTTTTACGTTTATTATCACTAACATTTCCTGAGTTTTGTAGAAATAAACCACTTTGATGCACAGTATTATGATTTTTGACCTGTTTTTAAGATTTGTAGCCTCTTTGGTTTGCCATTAGAAGTAGTAGTTGTTGCTGCCCTCGGAAGATAACCCAAAGCCCAATCACTAATCACCTCACCAACCTTACCCCACACTTCCCCGTAGCTTTGTTTGCCTCGGTGCCTTGGTATGAAACTAACCTTCTGGTCTCTCATCTCTGCAATTCTCTATTTTCAGTGAACATCTTAAGATAACCCATTCTATATACGATATATATACCAGTACTAACACACATACTCAGTTAATGAATGGCCTCCTCTAGCAGCATAACGAAACAAATCAATTTGAGCGTACAAAGCTACTTGCAGCAGCATATTAACGTACATATATCAGTCACGGTGCATGGTATAATATCGATCAATAACTCAATAACTCAGTAACTAGAGGACGCAGCATTATCGTTCATGCCTAATTAGCTAAATGTACTAAATCAATTCAATCGAAACTCAACCAAAACTCAAACCAATTTCAAGCGTTACGTATCGTCGTGTTATAAATGTAGTCACAAAATCAAAGAAAGCAGGCAGCAAAAGGAAGGAGATCCTCTAGAGTTGGAGCTTGAAAAATATCGGAATTATCGATAATTACGATACTTTTCACAAATCTATGATCATTGGAAACATTGATTGATATTATCGAAAATATCGTTATTTTACAAGCTCTCTATAGAGTTCCAATCGTTCGAGTCCCGATGTTGTGCCGTATTGTATTAACCTACTATTATTACTACTATGGGTTCACAGTGTATTATCCCGGTTAGTTTTTGAGTGCAAAGTGCAAGGAGAGAGAGAGAACTCTGTAAGGAATTTAATGCAAGTTGTTTGTTGTTTCTGCATATGCGAATACTAAAGTTTAAAGCAATTATACAGCCGTACTACTTATATTACCAGCATTTTACACACACGCATTCAGAAATATTGAAGTAACTGCCGCGAAGTTCGAATTTTACAGGGCGAGCCCACTACTATTTACTACCGAGAGCCATTACCATTACCATTTCCAGTCAGCTTTTAGGGCCGTGTAGTATTTCACAGTCTAGCCAGCAGTTCGTGCTTGAGCAGGGGGTGCTCCCCAGTCCCCACTCGACTATATCAGAGTACTTATATATATTTAATTGCCAACCTACGAACACCCACACCGAAACTAACAAGCTTCCGTGCATTGATTTACCGAGAATTCATATTCCGTGCATAAATACATACTTATAGAGAGAACCTTTAGAGAAGCCCCCGGTTTACCAGATACAAAAATGTAACAGACACAACGTTTTGCATTATTAATAAAGATATCTATGTTCGACATCATTCAACTTAAGTTCCCCGAAGTTCCTTTTGATGGGATTCCTGGGTTCTGGTCATGATCCTACACAAACCCAACTGCTTGAGCGCTTTAGTTGACCTTGTTTGATTTCAGTTTCCCCCTTTGTTGTGTTATCTTTTTGATTCCGCTTAATTTGATTTCGTTTTAATTTAATTTTGTTTCATTTCACGTCTATTCCCGTCTTTTCCCCCCACACACATCATGCACCATCCACACAGCTCCACAACATTCCAAGCACGCCCAGGGCCACGCCCCTTTCCCTGCCCCCGCCCACGCTGCCGCCCCCGATTGCGGTGAGCAGCGTGTCGTCGTCACTGCTCGACAGCTTCTCGCTATTCGACGATCCCGGCCAGATCCGCAGCCAGTCGGCCAGCACGCCCAATCCAACGCCCACTCTCCTCCCACGCCCATCTTCATCCACACCAGCAGCAGTCCCATCTCTATCGGCATCTCCAGCGGGATTGGTAGCGGGAGCGGTTCCTCCTAGTAGCACCACCATCACCACCGCCCCCAGCTCGAATAACCAGCATTTGTCGCGTTCCAATACACCGCTGCAGAATCAGAGCACGACGGGATTTGGATTGGGATTGGGATCCGGGACGGGAGTCAGTGTGTTCGAGGCCTTTGGAGAGAGTCACTCAGTCAGCAGTCAAAAGCCTCCCATCACTGGACCCACCGACTTCAAGGACGATCCCTTCAAGGACTACCGCTACGAGGATCCCTTCAGCATCAAGGATCCCTTTGCCGACGACGAGGAGGAGGAATCGTCTAAGGGAGCCGAGCAGAAGAAGAACTTTGCCGAGGACTTTAGTTCGGAGGGTAAGTAGATGGTCTAAATACTCCTGAATACCCTCTAAACCCGTTCCATTGCTTCTTCAGATGAAATGGGAGCTACGACAAAGACCATAAGCAACATTGTGAACAACAATAGCAGTAAGCCCAAGGCGGCCACGCCCCTGAACAACGACATCCTCCAGCAGTTCGACGCCTTCAACCTGAACTCCAGCCCGGCGCCTTCGCACCACTCGAGCACTTCGCATCACTCCAACTCCAAGCCGAACCACCAGAAGTCGCAGACGGCGCTGGACACCTTCGCCGACTTCGACGACTTTACAGCCTCGACCACAGCCACTAGCAATACGAAACTCAACGATTCCTTCTTCGATGCATTTAACGACAACTTCAGTGTGAGCCAGAATCTGTCAGTGGCCCCCGGCGTGGTTAGCGATCAGAAGAAGGCCTTCGATGCCTTCAACGACAACTTCGAGGACCACTTCAAGATGGGCCAGGAGAACAACTTTGCCAAGTTCGAGGCCTTTGAGGCGCACAACTTCTCGAGTGACTTTGGGAACAGCTCCTTCGAGGCTGCGACGGGCAAGGGCAAGGAGAAGCAGAACGGGCAGCTGGCCAAGAAGAAGGAGCCCAGCAAGGAGCCTGGAGCCAAGGACAAGTTCGCGGCGGACTACTCAAAGCCGGAGAGCTTCGATGCGGACCTGGAGGAGGCGCTCAAGCGCAGCGTGCTGGACAACTAGACAACTAGAGGGGATGAGCCTGGCAAACAGATGATTGTAAATGATCTATTGATTGATTGATATATCTCCAATGACACATGCAATGTCTCTCTCTATTCGCTCTCGGTGATCCGATCTTTAGTGTTAGTGACTCGCCTCTTTCCGTTTCGATCAACAAATTTACTCCGTACTCCTCGTGCTCAAGGATCCCGGCGAATAGAGAGCTATTCCAACGGAGCCGCAGCCTGGTATTACAAGCTATACATGCTTAATGCTATATGCTATATAAAATTATATATAATTTCGCTTAATCACATACTCGTAGAGCCTAAACATGTTGCGATTTAACCTGTACCAAAACCCTATGAATAAACGTACGAAATAACATCATCGTTATGGGGAGAGAGAGAGAGCGACAGAGTGTAGAGCAGATAGCAGAGAGCGGAGCCCCCACACCACCACCACTGCAAGGGGTTCTCAGCAGAGCTGCGGGCAGAGCAAGTGAAGCCTCTATATAGTTTCTCGTTCGCGATTCAGATCGCGTTTGGACTTCGCCGGAGACGTTCGTGCGGCACTTATCCACCTACATATATATATAGTTTTTTATTACCAGTGTTCCACAGAAGAGAGTGAGTTTCCAAGTGGAGCGGTGTGTGTGTGTGTGAACTAATCTCAATGCGATGCGCAAAATCAGCCCCCCTATAAAAACAAACCCACACACAGGCGCACAAATTGCTGCATTGGCACTACACTATAAAAACAATTTGCCGGCGATGGCAAATACACATGCGAATCGAGAGGGGGCGCGCTCTGCCTGTGTGTGTGTGCCGCTAATTACATTTATTTTGTAAACTTAATTTCCAAGTCGGCAAAAGGGGGAAGAAGGGGTGGAAGTGGGGGAGGGACGGGGCGGCGATAGCCCCCAGTAAAATTCCTTCGCTGTGTGGTTGCGGTGTTAAGTGCTCTGATAAGTCGCCCAGCTATCGCGCTTTGGATCCGGGGTTATCTGATATTGCTGTGGGTGCGACACGGATTCGGTGTGGGTACGGTTTGGGGGTATTGGAACGGTGGCACAGTGGTGTGAGTGCGGTTGACAGTGCCTGGGATCAGATCGCTTGTTGACACACTGCCCGCCCACGAGGGTTGCTCCAGGAGTCATTAAATAGAGTGCCAAAGCACCCCGGGTAAACCCCCTGAAAGCACCCTTATAATACAACGGTCTGTGGAGAAGGGGAGTTCAGGTACAGGAGGTATTTGGAGTCCAACTCCAATAAAACTGATTATAGTACAATTTTGGAGGCATGTTTTACTGCCCTTGTGAATTTTAGAATACAATTTTTTGTTTTGGTATGTCTCGTACAAAAAAGATCCAAAATATAAAAGCTAAAAACTTCTCTATAAAAGCCGCACTGTTTTCCACAGCTAATAACCCAATATATTGAATCCAATCACTATCAAAATTATTTTAAAATATCTAAAATTTTGACTAATTTCTAATTTTTTTATAAGGGGTTGTTAAATCGTGTTTTTGTCAAATGGACAAAAATGAAAATGATCAGCTTTGAATGCCGTTGGAATGAGAATTTGAATACAAATTCAACGACGTATGACACTTTATATTTGGATCACTATTTCCATTGTTTCGAGCAAAATACTGATTGTTTTGTGCTAAAAATAACGGACTGGTTTTAAAAGTTTTTAGGCGGTAACTTATAAAAAAGGGATCCCACATCTAAAAGACGTATTGTTTTGACCAACTAATAACACAATATATTCAATCTAATCACTTTCCGGATAATTTTAAAAATATTTACAAGAATTTTTTGGCGAAAGATGGTCAAAAACAATAGTATAGAGAGAAAGATACATTTAAAACTATTTTCGAAAACTATGCAGTCCAATTCTCCGTACCAATAACGATATATAACGAATCCCGCAGACTCAGCAGCCCCAATATGTCAAAGCCAGCTTTGTATTACGCCACCCTGAGCCCCCCGTCCCGCGCCGTCCTGCTCACGGCCAAGGCGATCGGACTCGACCTTGAACTGCGGTAGGTTCCCACACCATCCGCACACCGTGCCACTTAACTCAATTAACAAGTGTCTCCATCTCAGGCCAATTAACCTGCTGAAGGGTGAGCATCTGACGCCGGAATTCCTCAAGCTGAACCCCCAGCACACGATCCCCACGCTGATCGACGGCGAGGCCACGATCATCGACTCGCACGCCATCTGCTCCTACCTGGTGGAGAAGTACGGCCAGGAGCAGCAGCAGCTGTACCCCAAGGACCTGGTGCAGCGCGCCAACGTGGACGCCCGTCTGCACCTGGACTCTGGCCACCTCTTCGCCCGCCTTCGCTTCCTCTACGAACCCATTCTGTACCACGGATCCACGGACTGCTCCATCGACAAGATCGCGTACATCCAGAAGTGCTGGGAGATCCTGGAGGGCTTCCTCAAGGAGCAGCCGTACCTGTGCGGCAGCGACCTGACCATCGCCGACTTCTGTGCCGTGGCCACCGTGACCTCGGTGAACGAGACGGCGCTCATCGACGAGTTCAAGTTCCCGAAGCTGAACGCCTGGCTGAAGCGCCTCGCGGAGCTTCCCTACTACCAGGAGGTGAACGGCGAGGGCGCCGACGAGCTGAAGGCCATCTTCAAGGCCAAGCTGGCCGAGAACCGCGGCAAGTAGGCCGGGGATCACTCTATATTTTATATCCACACATGCACACACTATACATCTCTGCATAGCCAGACTTGAATAAACCGCTTAGTTCGAAGTACTATTTCAGTTATTCAGCAATTACAGCGACTTTGATCGATCTTTTATTACGAGGGCTTAACCTACAGGTAGCAACAATATATACTTAGGAGGTAATGGAAACGGAAATCGCCTTGTGAGTTATGTTTCACAACATAGATCGTCCAGTAAGGCGTGTGTATTGAACTGGTAACTCGAACCGAATATACAAAATATATATATCTACAGAAGTACAAATTCAAGAGTGCCTTCTGGCGCGGATCGGCCAGTTCTGGGGCTATAAAATATATATGGGTAAACAGACTATCACGACCCAGGCTCATGCACACACTCCCATCTCACGCATCTCACACAGCTCATCTCATTCACACGCACTGGGCCCTATTGCATAGAGCTCGTAGTCCGTAGTCCGTCCGGAGGCTCTAGTCTCTAGTCGCGGCGCAGCAGGAATCGCTTGATGCTCTCCGGCAGCGGCAGGTCGGCGATCGCGTGCTCCGCAAAGTTCTCCAGGATGACGTTGCGGCAGGCGCTCTGCAGGGACAGGACTGCGGGAAGATCAAAATCAGGGATCGAATCAGAGACGGAATAAATTCCACTTACTGCCCTCCAGCTGTATGATCCTTATCTGCTTGGTGGTGCCGTACACGTCGATCACCACAAACAAGGGCGCTCGGTTGAGCGGAATGTCGCGCGAGACGGGGCCACGGTCCACCCCGTTGATGATGAAGTGCAGCTCGCCCTTGGAGGCGCTGTGCACGGTGGGCACGTAGATGATGCCGATGCGGGAGCCCCTGTCCGTGAGCAGGATGTCCGAGTCGTTGCCGTTGCCCATGGCGGGGCGCAGCAGTCTCTTTGGTAGCAGGCCGCGCGGCGTCCTCACGTGCGTGGCGTCGCCCAGGAGGTTTCCTGGCAGGGATTAGCTGTAGTTTCTACTGTTTCTACTATTCAAGTGCCTTCTACTCACTGTGCGGCTCGTCGTCCGTCTCCGGCTCGATGATGTCGTTCGCCTCCTGGCGCTGGTTCATCTCGAACTTGGAGATCGGGTAGATCCAGCTGTTGCCCAGGTTGGCCAGGTCGGGCAGCGCAAAGTGGGGCAGGCCCTCGCTGCTCCGGCGAATCACATGGGGCGCCAGCTCCGTGAGGCCCAGTCGCATGTGTCCCGACCAGCCGCGCTCGATCTTCTCGATCTCCACGAGGAATATGTCGCCGGGGGCCAGGGGCCGCTCCGAGAAGGTGAGGGCGTCGGCGAAGCTGGCCCTCCGGTAGGCGACGGTGGCGTCGTCGCCCAGCTGGATGTTGGAGCCGTGGTAGGGGTGGAAGCGGCTCAGCTGCCGCTTGCGGCTGCCCAGGGTGCTGGAGACGCCCTCCCAGAGTCCCGGCGGCGGTTCCCGTTCCTGTCGCTCCTGTTGCAGATCCTCCCCCGGATCCTCCTGCTCGGCGGTGCCGTTAGCTGCGCGTGCCGGCGCCACCTGGTCGCGCTCCTCGGCGGCTTCCATGGGGGCGGGGCGCTTGGTGTTCCTGGTCCTTGATCCTTGCTCCTGATCCTGATCCTGGCGTGCCCGCAGCTAGCTTATTTACCTTTTTGCTCGATTTCGGTGTGACCGTATATTTTCAACACAACTGCCAGGGATGGAGACGCAAGGTGCCATTCACCAGGAGCCGGCTTGTGACGCAACACGGAACAGCTGTTTGATTCGGCCAGGAAACTTTGGAAATTACGAGGTGAGATTATAGAAACTAGGTTTTCTAACTGAAAAGCCTGATTTAGGATACCTAATTACAGATGCGCATACCCGGAGCACTGTACGCCGCCCGTGGCCGAGCGCCGCAGAGCGAGAAGGACGTGCCCTTCCAGGAGATCCTGCCCCTGCGGCTGAAGAACTCGGTGAGCGGGAAGGCGGACTCGGGCAACGATGTGGCCTGCCTGCAGGAAATGGGCGTGCTCTTCGCCTGCCTGAAGGACAACGAGTTCGTGGAGAAGTACTGCCACAAGGAGATCAGCCAGTTCTCGAACTGCTACAAGTGCTACATGGACCGCAAGTTCGAGGCCAAGAAGACGGTCAACCAGGGCATCGTCCAGCCGGGCAGCAACCTCAACTACAAGCAGCTGAACAAGTACATGCGCCGCTACCCCAATCCCGTCTAGCTTTAGAGTTTGAGTCGTTTAATAATACACTATTTACAAAGTACTTCCAACTGTGTAATCAGTAGACCACGTCGGCGTCGCCCAATCCCGCGGAGGATTGGCTGACGGGCGAGGGCTGCTGGCTGAGCACAAAGTTGCTGGACATGGCGCGCAGGAACTGCGGATGCGAGTGCGAGTGCTGCGGCTCGTACAGATCCGCCAGCAGCGTCGGCGGCTTCTCGCGCACGCGACTCAGAAGATCGGTCATCTGGCGAGGCTTCGGCACGCCGGTGGGCGTGGGCAGGGCCAGGTTGATGTGCAGCGGATAGCCACCGTGCTCCCAGGTGTCGGCCAGCAGCTGCAGACTGCGGTTGGCCTCCAGGACGCGGGCCCGCTGGAAGTTCAGGCGCTCCTGCTGCAGCTCAGACCACTGTTCCTAAGGAAAAACATTAAAGAAAGGCTCTCAGTGCTCAAAGGATCACTCACAAATCTGGTTCCCAGGCGGCCGAAGTACTTGATCTGCTCCTGGACATTGAGCACCTGCTGCATGTACCAGTCGCGCGCCTTCTCCACGCCATCGAGGCCGAAGAGCAGCAGCTCCCGCTGCTCCTCCAGCTGCTTCAGCCGCTTCAGCATGTTGTAGTCGATGCCGTGCTGCAGGGTGTGCCTCCTGGACTCCCGCCGCTTGCTGCTCGTCTTCTTGGGAACTGCGGGAAGGGCCAGGCTCCAGTCGGTGGCCGAGGCGGAGGTGGAGGAGGAGCCGCCGTCCGCCGAGCCTCGGTGCTCGAACTGCTTCGCCTTTCCCGCATCCGCCATAAGATTAAGCTGCCAGTTTTGGAGGGCATGCCGAATGTCGGCCTTCCCGAGGGCCGGAGATTTGGGCACCTGGCGTGGCGGCTTGGGCGGCGGAGCCGGCGAACTGTAGTCCACCTCCGGAGCGAGGTTCACCTGGGAACGGGGCCGCATCTTCAGGTCCTCCACGGCCTGCTGCTGATTGCGCAGCAGGCACAACTTGAGCCCGGCGCAGAAGCGCTCGAAGGAGAGCAGGCCGCTGCTCGGAGTGACCCGACGCAGTGAGTCCAGGACGCCTCGCGGCAGCCCCTTGGAGCCGTCGTCCTGCCAGCCCTTCTGGATGTCCGTGAAGCGCACGTAGCCACTCTGCTTGTCGTCCAGGATGTCGAAGAGCTTCTTCATGGACAGCACGAACTGCTTGGGCAGGGCATCCATGTCCAGGGATTGCGACGGCACCTGTCCATGACCGCCTCCTCCGTCGCCGATGCTGAGGTTCAGCAGACTGGTGCTGGTGTTCTGGCGGAGCATCTTCTTCTGCGTCTGCGGGTGGCGCAAAATGGAAAGTGGGATGAGATTATGGATCGTCCCACGCTTGCTCCCAATGCATAACTGAATATTCATGGCGGCTCATTTGCATGGGTGAGTCTAAATGGAATGTGTGTGAACTTGGCACGCTGTCTTGGGATCTTAGGGCTCTTGGAAGACGCCGAACGAAAGACTCAGGCCACGAACTCATTTCGATCTCGAGTCACTTTTAATTTGCTCTTGTTTATTAGCAGGTTCCGTTTTTAGACCAATATTTGCTATACTTTTATAGAACTCCTATAAGGAAAGTTCTTATATCTCACATGATATTCTTCTAATTGCTTAACTATACTTAAACCAGAATATTTTATTGCCTTGAGAAATAGAAAACTTTAAGATGAATATTGAAGGAAGTTCTTCAGTACCCGTACTTCTAAAAACCAATGCGGAAACGTTGGCTCCTGGAATCCAAATGCAATTGCAATCCAGTTCTTCCGAGCGGCTCTTCTGGGCAGCCTTTTGATTTTGAGGCCGTTCGTCAAGGCTTCTGCACCTATTCTGTGTATATGTAATGCAGCTTGCTCTGCGCCAAACACCCAAACCCAACCAACTGGTTATATTGACTGCACACTGGAGGCCCGCGTCTTTTGGGGCCCGAGTCTCGCACGCATGCGCAACTTGCGCGACTGGTTTCTGTGGTTTTTCGGTGGATCTTTCAGCACCATCACAAGCACAAAAAGTGGGAGAGCGCCAGGAGGCCAACACACACACACACACACACAGTCTAGGCCAAAATAGAGGGGCTCTCTCTCAAGATTTGGGTAGAAACGTATTTATTAGTAGAAATGCAATGCGCTTGGCTTAATCAGTCGAAAGAGGGAGCTAATCGCCTAGGTTAATAATATGTTTATCTGCTATGAACTGCAGACTCTGCGTGATCCAAAGGGTTCGAGGATCACTAGAATGAGCCGTTCATCTCGAAGTTGTGTCCTCTAAAAGCTAGAACTTAAGCTAGGCTGGCCAATCCTGTCCAGCTTACAAGTCGGCCACGGACTTCCGGCGCACGTACTTGGCAAAGTAGTCCGGACGCCAGCACTTGCAGGAGCCGGGGATGAGAAACCAGTCGTAGTAGAGGCGCACCTGGAAGCAGCCCAGCTCGTCGTGGCCATCGCAATGGGCGTCCGAGGGAGCCGACGCGCCGGAGGCTCCTCCGTTGGCGGAGGTGCCGTCGGAGGCGGTGGCCACGCCAGCCCGCTTCTGCAGATACTGCTGGTAGGCCTGGAAATCCTGCACCGAGGGAGCCTGCGTGGTGGTCGAGCTGGTGGGCACCGTGTCCTCCGCATTGGGATAGAAGATCTCGGCGACCAGCAGACTCACCCAGCGCGGCGAGGACAGGCAGCCGCCGTCCAGGTAGTGGCACCTGGCCTGGATGCAGCGCGTCACCTCCACCGTCTGGGTGAAGTAGCCCTCGTAGGGTATCTGCACCACGTAGCGCCAGGCGCCCTGGTAGTTCTTGGCGAAGACCGGCGTGGCGTACTCCACTTTGGCGGGACAGGGAGTGGGTGGACCCTCGTACCGGATGGGACCCACCTCCTCGCGACGCTCGGCTGTGGGCGTGGCAGGGGCAGCTCCACCGGTGTCGCCCTGGATGGCCCTGTACAAGGTGCAGAATCTGTGGGAGAAATTAAAAAGTGATGGGTAATTGATTGATTGATTGAATTCGTACCCTTCATAAGATTTCTATAGTTGTATACCTTTTAATTAGTTTAGCATTATGAATATTTATATTTATGGAAAGTGAAATGGTAACCTCATTTTCTTTATCTGCCTTTTGAATACCTTTGTATTTAGAATTTTGTTAAATTTTGTTTATGATGATTCATGGTTATTAAGTGGTGACCTCTTTAATAGCAAAACATTGGCCTTTCCCTCAGTTTTTTGTTAAGATTTCTTAAATCGAAGTTGTTGTAAGAAATGTATATGCCCTGTCCTACGTAACATAATGGCCCCACGTTGGGCGCCAATTCTTTAGAGTTAAGGATTAACTTACACTCCACCGCCATCGCAGAACTTTCGTGGCTTCCTCTCGTCGGCGGCGGCTCTTCGCTGCTGGTGACTCTGTTGCCTCTGCTGATGCTGCTCCTCCTCGTCAAGGGCGGGATCAAAGTAGCTGTACTCGTTCGACTCCACGCCCTCCGGCAGACTGCGGCGCACTCGGGTGGAGCCTCCGGTGGGATAGGGTCGGTTGTTGTCGATGTTGTTGCTGTCCAGCTGCTCCACGGGCTCATCGCGGATGATCTGGGTGACCTTGGGCAGAGTGTCGTCGGCCTTGAGAACGGGCAGAGTCTTGGAGAGGAACTTCAGAGTCTGGTTGCGAATGAGTTCACTGGGGAGGGGTTTTATTCAGTTAGAGATATACCTTAAATTAACTCTAATCACTACTTACAAGGGATAAGGCTCTCCCAGTACGTTCTGTCCCAGCGGATTCTTGGGGATCTGACCCTTGTTGAGATCCCCGCAAATGTTGTGCACCGACACGGCGGACTTCTTGCCAGCGGCCACATCCTTGCACTCGGCGTTTATGAAAGTGTAGGGCGGAGGCCTGACCTTGGGCGGCACCGCATTCGGCGACTCCACGAAGGCGTAGTAGCCCTCCGGAGGCTGCTCCTCTCCATAGTCCGATGTTGATTGCTGGGCGAAGCCCAAGTGGGCCAACAGCAGAAAGCTGAGAATTTTCTACAGAGGTTGGAAAACAAAAGGCTATTTATATGTGGATGATACCTGGTGAAGAGTTAATTGCCCCGAAGAGTCAGTGAATGGCCGGCATTGTCCAGAAAGTCAGACAGACAGACACTTTTCGTTGTTTTGTTGTTTGGCGAAAGCGCGAAAGTTTCTGTTTCTGTGAAGATAAACAAACTGAAACCGAGACGCGACTTTTGCATCTCTCTACCCAGCTCACTTGACCATTACTTTTGTCGGGGGAACTTTCCCTGAAATTCTGGGTAGCCGCAGCACAACGAAACCAAAAGTTATCCAGGTCAAGTGGCCGAGTGGCTGGTGGGCGGATGCAGTGATACAGCCAAGAAGCTGTGGAATTTCTCTCCTCGCGACACGGTTCACAGCGCAATTTGAATGGGGATCCGAAATTGGGTCAGTCTCCGAATCTCCGAGCTCGTTCTTTTGTTTTTTGTCTCCCTTCTAATGGGCCAGAAACTCGTTTGCCCTGCGAGAGAGTTGCCCAAATGGAGGCTAGCCCCGATTTGCATAGGTAAATATCGGTAGCCCAATTGCAGATTGCCTTTCATGGGGCCGAAAGACGGGCTGTTCTTTCAGAACAGAACTCGTTGACGGTCTCTGTTCCAAATATGCGTGCCACACGACTAACGGGAAAGTTGCTCGGCACCCGGCCAAAAGCGAGAAGTTAGAAGTTAGAAGAGGCAGAACGGAACGTTGCTCCACAGTTAGCTTAATTCATTAGCATGCTCCAGAATCGGGCGGCTCCCCGGTTCCCAAGTTCCCAAGCGACTGGGTAACAGTAAACGGGATCGCTTAGCTTAGCTTGGCGAAATGTTGGCGCATAGCAAAACAAAAGACTTGGGCAACGAACTTGACTAGCAGTTAGCACACCCGTAATGATGACATACCAGCACTAAACGATAATCCATCTCCGCTCGATCGCTTCTTTATTTACGGTTCTTGGTTCTTGGACTCGGCTCTTCCACTTGGCCTTCTTCTGAGGCTTCGACTTCGATCCGCGATGGTGGCAAACAGAACCAGACGCGTCAAGTGCAGCAACTGAACTGAGTCTCTGGCCAAGTTCGTGCAGACGTTGAACCTCCGGCTGCTAGCTAGAAAGAAGAGAGCACGAGAAAGTGGAAATAAAGAAAGCTTTACCTTGAACTTAGCTTATTCCAAAAGAGAGCCGAGCTTGAGCAAGGTAACCTAAAGCAGAAGCATACTTTCAGACTTGTAAAAAAATATAATTTACATTTGCAAACAAAATTATACAAAATTCCATTTAAGGTTTTGGATCCACCCAAGGTTTCCCACTAAGCATACTTTAAAACATCTCCCAGGACTAAAAATAATATCTTTATAGATATTTTACAATATTTTTCACATTTTTAACATGACTGCATTTAACAGTTTTGTGAAGGACGTTTTTTAACATTACATTGAGATAACATAATTGCAAAACTGAAAAAATGGATGCTTTTAGGCTGAAAGAGAAACAATTTCCGGACTCCACGGTCCATCAGGATCAGCAGGATCTTATCGCCACCACTCTAAAATTCCAATTTTTTTAAAATTTAATTACATTTTTTGAGATCTAAAAAGGAAGAAGGAGACTTATAAGTACGAACCCAATAGTTCTTCACATTTTATTCAATCGCCCCAAAATCGCTTTTCACATCCAACAACTTCACGTTTATTTATGAATACAATGAACATTTCACACCGTAATAAAGTTCTTTCTCTCCAGTAAACAATGTGGCAGAGTCCTTAAACATTCGTTATCAATATAATGTTTGGTGTAATGCTTTCTTCTATATGTAGAATACATTAGTCATAAAGTAATATATATATTTATTTGTATATATGCTTGTATATAGATCCGCATTATAATCGCCGCACAAAACGTAGCCCGACATCGAATCGAAAGAATCATATGCAGTTGTGCCGAAATTGTATGTGGGGGTGGAAAAGTTACGGGCAAATAGATTAATAAGGGTAAAGTAATCGTAATTAAAGGGAATACATGTCCTTAGATTAAAACTATGCGCATAGATTGTAGTTTGAAACTTGGTTTCGTGTACAAAAAGCTAAACTTAGTATGCCAAGCACTTCATCGTTACGTCAGAATCGATAGAGAACTATACAAGTGGGTAAACGGGGCGAAATGGGTAACTAAATCAAATCAAATTGTACTTCATTGTTTGGCTAAATAAATATGTATTGGTAGTCGTTTAATGTAAAAACAAATCAATGTCAATGCGGTAAAATACAAAGGAAAACTAATCCTCGTCATTGGCTTCTTCGAATCGCTATCGAATGGATACAACTAAGGCTTACGGATTCTAGTTTCAAGTTTCGCGTCTCTCGCAACTTTCAAACTTAATGCAATATTGCAACTATCGTATATATGAGTACATGTCTTAAAGTAAACAGAGTGTATAACATCTTCATAATGCTTTTGCTTATCGCTCTCGGTAGCTCCGGTCTAGAAATATCATATAAAGTAAACTTTAGGCTTATGGCTGTAGTGCGTTTGTGTATGCTCATGTTTCGGTATCGTTTTCGGGTTGGATCGCAATATCGCATCTAATTCTTGGGCGAAACAGTTATAAGTTTGTGTGGCGTCACGGGGGATATCTGTAATGTAAGATTTGTTTGCATTTAGTAGGGATTCGATAAGAGATTCTCGGTTGAGTTGACCTACCCATAGGGACCGGCCCATGTATGAATCATCGTCGTCTTCGATCAGTCCCGATGTATGATGGTGGTTCTGCTGGTCGATGAACAGCAGGGTGTCCTTGCTGCAAGTGTTCGCGGACTTGCGCAGCAGCGAAGACAGCGTCTCCGTGTAATTTGAGCTGGTGGAGAACGAGTGCCGCAGGCTTAGACTGGCCGCCTGGTGGGAAGCGTTCTCCACCGCCGACACGCTGCTCCTGGATCCATGCCAATTGTGGTTGTGCAGCACCTGGCGGGACAGCTGCAAGCTGGACGAGAGCTGCGGCGTATTCCCATTCGCACTTCCATTTCCGTTGAAAAGAGCCGGCGGAGCGGCACTCAAGTGACCGTTGAACTTGCTCTGCAGCGTGGAGGCAGCCGTCACCGAGGTGCTCAGTGATCTCGGCGAAGAGCGCGACGAGAGGGAGCTTTCAGAGGAGGAAGAGCTGGAGGAAGAACTCGCATGACCATTGGTCTTGGGCTCGGCGGTTGATTCGCTCGCAGGGAGTGGAATTTCTTCCTTCTCGGTAGTGTCTTCTTTCTTCTCCTCCTCGCCGAGGTCCGTGCAGTCCTCATCCATGGCAAATATAGACGTGGCTTCTTCTACGGTCAGCTTCTCGGGTTCAACTGCTGGTGCTGCCTCCGTTTTGGTGCTGGTCTCACTTAAACTGGTGTCCACATCGGCATCGGCAAAGGCCAGTTCCTCGATATTCAGCTTATTCGGAGTTGATGCCTTCTCCGGAACATCCTCTGTGGGCTCTTCGGTAGCTAAAAGAATTGAAAAAGTGATTAAAAAAATATCCTGCAATGGCAGGGATTCAATTGAGCTTACCTTCCACCCTCTCCTGACATATTTTGGGTATGTCCACCGGTTTGGATTGAGCCTTCTCTGCCGCTGGCGTTTCAGTCGCTTCCTCCACCTTGACCGGCGGCTCCTTCTCCTTGCCAGAAGTCGACGAGGCGGACGACGAGGGGGCCGGGGCGATGCGCGACACCCAGTGATCTCCAGAGTTCGAACTGGAGCCGGAGCACTCGCCCGCATCCACGCTGCGTCGCTGGTAGAAGAGCATGTAGGCCTCGTTGTTGATTATGTCCTGCTCGATGTCGTCCTCGGGCACCTTGCTCACCCGCTGGTCATCGAACTTGTACCACTGCCGGTCGTAGGGGTTCTTGCAGGCGGCCGTGTAGTGGCCCGTCTCCAGGGTGTCGCCCTGGTGGTAGCACACGGCGTACAGGTCGTAGCGCGTGTCCTTGGGGTCGCAGCGCGAGTTGAGCGTGGAGGAGCGCGAGTCGCCGGAGCGGGCCTTCTTCCAGGGATTGCCGGAGCCCAGACCGAGTCCGAGGCCCAATCCCAGTCCCGTTCCCATTCCCAGCGAGCTGCTGGCGCTCTCGTGAACACCGCGTGCCAAGTGCGGCGACATGTCGAAGGCCGTAAGCGGGAACTTGACCATGGTGGTCAGCTTGGCGGCCTGCGGTCCCTTGGACTGGTGCTGCCGGAAGCGCTTGAAGTGCACCACCAGGATGTCGGGCAGCGACCACAGGCCCAGCGTCTTCACCACAGGAAGGTACTGCTGGCAGTGCGGACAGCGCCAGGCGTCCTCGGCGCTCAGCGTCTCCGCCTTGGTGTAGTGCTCCAGGCACTGTTCGAGGGTCAGCGAGGCGGTGTCGCTGGGCTTGCTGGCACTCAGACGAGCCACACTTTCATGCTCCACCACCGCCTCCTCGGCGTCCTGCTGTTTGCCTACGAAATGCGCCTCCGGAGAGCTCCACTCCAGCAGCAGCTTGATGTGCTGCGGTCCCGCCTCCGCGGAGAGCACGGAGAGCGCCATGTCGATCATCTCGGTGAGCAGCGGGTGCTCCACCTGCTCCAGGTAGGTGTCCGGATCGGCGGAGGGGTCCTGCAGCCGGATGCGGAACATCTCGGCCGGCGGAGTGGCGTAGGAGAAGACCTCGGGCTTGAGCAGCGCGGCCATTTCGCGCAGCAGGCGCTTCTGCAGGTCCTGGTAGGAGCAGTCGCGCGGCGCCTTCATGCTGAAGGGAGCCCCGAAGCGCGAGATGTCCTTGCCGTCCTTCGCCCGGTACACGTTGGCCACCAGGAGCAGCAGGTCGGCCTGCGAAGCCACTGTTGTTGTGGCGGGAGCAGGCTTATCCGTTTCTACCTTGGGAAGTTGGGCAGCAGTCGCCTCCGGCACCTCGATGCAGTAGATGGTCTCGATGCTGGCCAGCGTCTCCACCGGCTGCGTGTCGTAGAAGACGCGCGAGAAGCCCTCGGCATTCAGATCCACCAGCACCATGCGCGATCCCTCGATGCCCGTGTCCGCGTGGAGCTGCTCCCGCAGAGCCACAATGGGCGATCCTGCGGGAACGCGCAGACCCATGCGCACCTGGCGGGGCAGCTGCTTCATGTACACCACCGTGACGAAGATCGTCTGCTGCGTGAGCTGCGGCAGCTGCACCGAGATGCAGTGGAAGGGGTCGAAGGTGTTCGACTGCTTCTCGCAGCGCGGGCAGGTGAGCGAAGAGCGGAACTGGGCCTGGAACACCGCCTGGACGAAGCTGTTGTTGCACCGGATGTGGTTGGCCAGCGTCTCGGCGGCGATCACCTCGTCCGAGCGGCCGTAGGAGTTCTGCGCGTTGGAAGAGTTCGTTGGAAGAGAAGAGTTCGTTAGCGGAAGCCTCCAACTGGACAAATTCGAGAGTGCGCCCACCTTGAGGCTCTTGTAGCGCCGCTTGCTGGCCGTGTTCAGGTCCTCGTGCACCTTGTCCAGCAGCCAGAAGAGGAACTCCTGGGCGTCGTGCTGCGTGGAGCTCCTGAACTGGCTCCCGTACCGATCCACCACCGCCTTGAAGCCGGTGCTGTGGTCGCTCTCGTTCCGGCAGGTCCACAGCGCCTTCAGCACGTTGGCCAGCTGCTCGGTGAGCTCGCCCTTGGTGCCGAACTTGCGCGAGTTGATCTTGTTGCGGCGCTTGAGGTCGGCCTGTGGGTGAGGTAATTAATAGAATTACTTGCTTATATACAGAAAACAATCTTACCTTGTACTGGTCCAGCACAAAGTACTCGGCCAGGATGTCCGTGTGGCTGAGGCACTGCAGCACCGCGTTCATGAAGCACGTGTTGCCGTGGTTCTTCAGCCCCATTACGCCCGGAGTCTGGTCCGCCGGCCACTGGTAGCCTCCGATGGGAGGCACTCGCTCGCCTGGACCGGCTCCTCCTCCTCCCGAAGATCCCTGCACCGTCGACTGGCCATGTTTGTTCGCCTGGAGGGGTAAGAGAAAGAAGAACTGTGTTAGTCGCCGGGGAGTACAAATTGTGCTGGTCAAGAAACCCGTTTCCAGATCTCACTGGAGTGCAGTGGAGTGGACTGGGGGCAGCAATTGGCGTTGGCCGATTGGGTTTCAATTTCGTGGCCAATTAAAAATTGTTTAGCGCTGCGCGCAGACATCAATTTGCGATAAATGAAGAAATATTTAGAAAACAAGGCGAAAAAAGAAAGGCCTGTCAGGCGCAAACGAATAAGTAAATGCTCTTTAATAAAAGTAAATCATCACATGGAAGGTATACAAATATTTTACGAACCAATTAGGAATACATATTAAGTGGGCAAACTAGGAAGGTGCTTGTTTGGGCTCAATCGCCTGGAAAATTTCGGTGTTAATCAGTAAAGAAATCGAAATTGCTATTAAAGGTAATGAGGAGGTGTGTCTGGATCGTGAATCTCTTGAAACGAAACCAAAGCAAAGAACATTAACCACCTATACAGTGGATCCTAGGTTTTTCGATGGATAATCTATAGGTTTTAATTACGTGTTCCCACTGCAATCTCTGCTTTTTATAGGATGGTGAATCTCTGAAACTGAAACTCTTTCCATTAAATAAAATAAGATAAAATAAACCAAGAAGAAGAATGATAACAATGATGGATCCTACGTTTTTAATTAGTGTTCCCACTGCAACCTCTTTTTGATTTATTTGGGCAACTGGAGCACTACCTCTCAAAAAGGCCGAATACGAATTTACGATATTATAAACAAGCTGTGGAAAGGCAACGAAAACAAACGGAATGAGTTTGTGGCTGAGATTGAGGCTGTTTGAATGTTTCAATGTGGCATTTTCGATGTGGCCGAGTGCCTTTAACGGTTTCGGTTGCGTTCAGCAATGAAATTTGCCGGATTATAAAATTGGCAGCACTTCGAGGTCACTTGGCTGCTTGGGGGGAGGTCAATGCTAAGTGGGTTTATTTCCCGATTTCTCGATTTCCCCATTTTCCCCGGGAAATGCAAGAGCCAGTGACGAAGGCCGACGGACGGACAGATATGAGTAAGTCCAAAGAGTAACGTCATCGTTCGAGATTTACGAGTGTGTGTTGTACAAAAAAAATCAAACAAAAGCCAGCGGATAATGGATTCAATAGAGACAACAAAACAGCGGCCAAAGAAGCGCAAATCGAACACAAAAACCCGTTTTCTGAAAGCGAAAACCCACGCAGCGAACCAAAGAAATCGGCGGCCAATGGTAAATGGTAAATTGGCCAAAAGCAAATAAATCTCTGTGTGGGATGGGCTGTATCTCCAGCTGTAGGTGTTGTTGTAAGTGTAGGGCTGGTGATCATGACATTACTACAGGCTCTCTAGCTTCTATCTTCTAGCCCACTGATTAGATTGGTACCTCTTTTCTGCGCCAGCATCCGGTGTAGAATGGCACGATTTCAATGAAGGCGATGCGATTCACAGGCGAGTGATGCTCCTCGGACTGAAAGAGATGCAGCATTTCCGGAGGGCGAGAAGTGGGGAGATTTGGTTAGATTGGTTGACAGTTAGCACAGATATTCCGCCACATCATGCTGCAGGAAAGTTCCCCAATTCCCATTCCCACTTCCAAGTTCTCAAGACATTAGCCCGGATTTCGTTGTCTCATTCGCTTAAGCTTAGTGACACCACTGGCCCCCCATCGCTGGCTTTGAATAATTGTTGCTTTTGTTGGCAAATTGACATTGAACTGACGTTGACTGCATCGAACAAATGCCATTTGTATTGTGCCTTCTCGGGGGAATCGGATGGTTGGTTGGTTGGGGGAGTGACCACATTGAATGGCGGCCAAGTGGCTGCTCGAGTGCCTCGCTAGACAAAAGAAAGATGTGCCCTGCAAAGGGCACGAACTGGGGGCCAACTTCAAGAGACGCCACTCCCGGTTTCTTGGCCTTAAAGACTGAACCAGGGAAGCCCCGGCTATAAGCCGATTTTCTTAATAATTAAAGGCGCCGTGCTAAGCCGAAAGGGGTTCCGAATTTAAGCAGCTCAGCTCATTAGACAAACCCAATTAAAATGGCCGGCAGTGATGTAAGTCGAGCCAAAGCCATCGCTTAAAAAGGCGGGCCTCACAATTCAGCGGTTGGGACAGGGCCACAAATGAATAAATTGAGTGGAATGTCCAGATCTAGTTTATACACAGAACAAAATATTATAGAAGTCATATAAATAGAACTCGACTTAACAAATATCAAGTTATCTTCTTCTAAAGAATTCGCGCTCTTATGAATTCAAGAATCATTATTTGGCTTCTTATAATAAAACCTAACAAAAGGTAAGTGGAATAGTAAATAGTTCCTCTTGTTCTAAAGAATTCGCGGTATTGTTGAATAATTCATTTGCGATTTCCAATGATTTTTTTCTGTGTGTATTTGTACCTATCTACATATATATCCTCCCGTTTCAATTCCCATTCCCGTTCCGCATATTCCGCATCTTCTGCTGACCTAATCGCGGTGGTCATTTCTCACGCAGCTGGAGACAAAGACGACGTTGCTCATACGCCGCGTTCGCCCGACATCCATTTTTACATTTCTTTCGAGCTGCTGCTGGTTAATTGAGCAAGAAACGCGGAGGCATAGAATAAAAGTAGCTGGCCACTGGCCACTTGTCTCAATTTGCGCCAGCAATTTTATCATCATCGTCATTATTATTTATAAATTTAGCAAATTTCTCTCGTTTTGTTTGTCGGGCAGTCGGCAGTCAAGTGGCCCCAAATGTTCTTCGCTTTTCCTTTGTATATCAAGTGTCCTCCCCAGTCCATCATATCCCATGGCTTTGTTTACATTCGCGTATTCCGCTTAACTTGATGTATCGAATTATTATGCCCGCGTCTCGAATTCTTGCCCACATTTTTTTCATTTTCTGTTTCAGGCAGCAAAAATTCCATTCCAGCCGAGCAAATGTGTGCTTATGCGGCCAGAGCTCTTCTGATAAGCCAGTGGTGGCGGGGAAACTGGGGAAAGGAAAGGGGGAACTGCGCCGCCAGATAACTTATAAATATTGCACTGCACTCGAGTATTTGCCTTTACGTAAGTCACCATGCAAACAACAACAACTTCTACAAGTCGCTCCAGATGCAGATATATATCTGCTGTGCAGTTACGTTTGCGTTTTTATTAAATAATTGTAAATAATTGAAGACAATTGCTGTTGATGTGGTTGCCACGAGGTTGTTATTACCTACGAGATCTTGGCCAGAGCATGAATGAAATTGGCGTTTTGGTTTGGGTTGGGTTGGGCTCGTCTGGTCCCCAGAGAGCGGAATCTCGGATCTCGAGTCTCGAGAGCGATCGTAGTTCTCCTACCGGTTGGACGGCATTTTATTAATGGAACGCTCGAGCAGAGACTATTATTAGAGCCCAGTTGCCCCCATATATCTGCTACCCGCCTTATCGTCCCCCATTCGTCAATCGCCTAATCGCGAAATCGTCGTCTATTCCGAGTTTTAACTCTCCGCTAAACGATGAGTTCGACCCGCAAACGATCACGTGACACCGGTGCGAATGTATAACTAATGTATAGCGTCACCATAATCATTGATTCCCGCGCGACGGGATTTACGAGCAGGTAGAATAATTTCCCTGGCCGTGATTTTGCAAAGATAAGTCTTGAAATAGCGGTTGGCAAACATTTGATTCCAACTTTATGGTTTTATTGTCTCCGCCAGAAGTAATCCCCAGTCGAGTAATCTCGAAACTAATTAGATCCCCCAGATATATGGGTATATAGATACATTATGTAAGTTGGGGAGATTCTCGCACGCGGCTGGAAACACACGCCCATTTTGGGAAGGGGCGCGATTACGTGGAGGAGAACGCGAAGCTCTGTCAAGGTTGTGCCCACAAAGGGGCTCTAATCAGGCCACCTTGCGAACACGTCGCTTATCAGATACGAGTGCTCAGGGGCCCCATATCTACATATACAGTGCGAGGCATGAGTAGAGTGCTTTCTGGATAAAAATGAGACAGCGAATTCTTCAGAACAAGATCCACTAATCAACTATACAATAATTAATATAATAAGAACGCGAATTCTTTAGAAAAAAAAAGAAAATAAAATCCTATTACCTATAAAAAATATAAAATAAACATTAATAAATAGGTATTAACTAATATCAAATCGATATAACTATTCTATGTGCGAGTATTCAAGTCACTTGGGTTGATAGGTACTTATTCAGCTGTCATGATCGCTTAGTGATTAAATTAAATACGTAACTGAGCTACTTTTAAAACTCGAGTGTTCCGATTAATCTAAACCTTTTATTGCTGCTTGTTCAATCATATCTGAAATTTGAGGTTTTTTAATATACTATATACTCCTAATCGGCACTGTCTATTACGACAGCCCCTATGACTTCTGTCAACGCTAACTGATATCTCTGGCGTTCTGTTTGGACCGAGACCGACTATTTTTGCCAGGCCCACGCGTATGTAGCTTTTTCGGGCAAGGGCAAATCGCTTGACAGCAGACGACCAGCGATAAATTTGCACTTTTCACTCGGACCTGCTGTCACATACGTGTAGTACATATAGTACATAATGGAATATTACGGATGGGGGCTACTTGATGACGGTTTTTGGGCTCTTTATGGGACCTTATAGTCATATATCACCATGGTGGGGCCACCTGAGAGAGAGGTGCGTAATTAACTCCGGATGACGTGGTTAATTTCTAGCCGCCGTCTGGGAACTAAGCAAACAAACAAAAAAAAGTAACGGCCAATTAGACAGCCTAAGCGCTGAAAACATAATTCTACAATCTACAATCCCTCGCTGTCTATACAATCTACTGTGCCCGTGCCCCATTCAAAACGAAATGTTAATTTTAAAATGATTGTTTATGAAAATAAACGTGCCGCGGACCATGGAAGTACGAAAATAAATGCAAAAGGCTAAAAATTCTGAAAACATTTTTTCAATTAGTTTGATCTCAATTGATTTTACCTTGAAAGCGAATTCACTCAGAACGGCAAAAAGAGAGAGAGAGAGAGAGAAAGGGGTTGAGCTACCCCAACAACAACAACTGTAGCACTAGGAATCGCACTACGAGCACAAACAACAAACACTATAGACAATAATTCGCACAGTTGTACAACAGCAAAAGTTACGTGTGAGCCACCGGGCGGAAATACGAAATACAAATACAAAGAGTACGCGAAAGGCCCCCCCAAAACCCCCCCTTTCGTGCACTTGAAATATCATAGAAAATCAGCAAACAGTAGCGGACCAACAGAGGCGGCGGAAGGGGGGCTCCAAAAAAGAGGGGGTGGTTGTAATGCAGGTTACGTACTAATCTCGCCATCAACAAGTGCACTAGCAACAACAACAGCAAACTGAGACACGGTTTTGTGGGTGGCTAAGGCTTAAACTAAAACTAAAGCTTACGGAAATAGACAAAACTGTTGCTGACACAGAGAGAAAAATGTGCTTAATCATCATGTGAATTCAAAAATTCATGACTCATTTCGTACAATATAAAGTATTTCGTATTATTACATTTTAAAATGGACAATAGAACGGTATATTTCTAATGTATACGATTTATTATTTAAGAATCTCAACTACCTATTGCTATTTCTTTCAGATTTACAGTAACAACTTTAAAAGGTACTATTCAACATATAAAAACAAAATAATTTTAAATTAATTTAATCACAATAAAACTATAAAATATTATTTTCTATTAGTTTATAATATTTTTGCTTGTGTATTTTGGCTTGCATGTGCGCATTCTAACTCACGTGTTGTTTTTGGCGGTGTTGTTTTTGACCAGATCGTCGCACAGAGTGTCACTTCTGACTTTTCCTTGCAACCCCCCACCTTCTTCCACCCCCTCTCCCCCTTCCGCCACCCATTGGCATTTGCAATTTTTGGCATGCAATCTTTAATAAGGCATATTATTGCTGTTGCTGCCGTTTTCACAGTTTTCTCGCAGTTCTCGCAGTGCGATTTCGTTTTTCTTTTCGCATTTCGCTTTTCCGCTTTTTGCGCTGCCTTTTCTCGCTGTTGTTGTTGTTGTTTTCCTGCAGCTATTCAAACTCAGCTTCTGAATAAAATCAATGCGAAATGCGCGAATACACGAGATACGATGCCAAGTGCCAGAGGCATGAATCATAAATCAAGCAATTGTTTACAATGAGGTAAGCGCACAATAAAAGCAACCAAAGCAACAATGGTCAATTGCCACATAATGTCATTAAGAAAATAACCGCAAAACAACAGCAGTAGTAATAAGTACTTGTTGCTCGCAGCTAACCGAATGTTTTGCCTTTTTCGTGGCTTTTGTTGGTGAAAGGTGTCAGCAGACAAAAGGTAGATACAACCTGCCTCGAAAATCGAAAATCGGTACACCAATAACGAATAACGGTGCAGCTAAAGCTTTCTCAGCTGAGCGGCTGCAAATGCAGCTTCCTATCGCAAGCGGCTAAAACGGCACAAACTACTTATACATATAGATACTGTAGTTTTCATTGAGCTTTACGTGCCACCCCTTTCCAGTCACCCCCACTTTACTACTCATTGCCGACCCGCTTTGAATGAAATTAAGTCTGTTTTCGTATGCGGTTATCGTTCTGGAATTCCGAAGCGCTAAAAAGGTCAGCTCCACGCTATCGACTGCAATAAGGTCTTGCCCTCTACAATTAATCAAACTTTTACAGCAACAACTATCAAAGAGCCACAGTGTAGCCTCTATCCATCGATCTTGAGACTTAATTTAATTTTTATTTGAATCTAAACTAGTTTCGTTTGATATGTAAGTATGATCTTATTTATAGAAAAGTAAAATTCCATTTTGTACCTAATTTAGGAGGTCTTATTATTTTTTGTGTAAATAATTTCAAGGCACTCTTAAAATATTTATATTTCTATAGTTTAGATAGATCGCTTACTTGCAGCGTCAAGTGCCAGAAAATGCGAGACTCTAGAGCTCTACTGTTTATAAATTGATACGCTTACGCACACTCTGCCGGCCCAATGTAAGTATTATTAGATCAAATTCAATTCCAGAAGTTCCTCGAGCTGCTGCTGCTATCGCTTTCTGGAGGGGAAGGGGAAGGGGCTCAGTGCTCCGGGGTGTGTCATTGCGCCCTGCACTTGTCTTCGGCTCCTCAGCTGTCGCTTTCCCCACTTTGTTGTGCTGTCTTCTCTGACAAAAGCGTGGCACACATTTGTCGACTTGCGCCTCCTTGTCGGGAGTTGGGTTCCCCTTCTTCAGTTCCCCCAAAACCACCGATCCCCGGCTCACCCATCAGTCCATCATTAACTGCTGTCTCGCTCCAGCAGCGCACGACCTGAAAACTCTTGTTTTTCGGGCTCCCTGTTTGTGTTTGCTTGTTTGTTTATTATAGCGCGGACGGAGCAACAAATGTTGGCAACATTTACACAAAAATTGTTTGAACAATTGCTGTCTGTCTGCGAAACAAAAGGCGCCCACCTACAGCACCTAGTTGCAGACCAAAAGCACAACAAAAATTATGATAATAATGAGACAGCAATTGTTTAAAAATAAAATTAATTTCCATGCGCCGTCCTCGCGTATGGTAATCGTAAATTGCCGCTGAAGAGCGTAGAACATTTGAGATACACTTCAAAAAAGCGGAATCCGATGTATTTATAGTTGTGTAAACAAAGGCTTTTTATCCGGCCACGGAACGGAATGTGTGAACAAAGACCAAGACCGGCGGGCAGCCATATAGATTACCATACCGAAAGAAACTCCCTGGGAGGAGAGTCCCAATAAGCCGCTTTTCGGACTGATATATACCATATATATGCAGTCCCTTATCATCGGTCACGCAAAATATGACTCAGCACACGGGTAGCAAAACAAAAACAGCGAGACAAAAACGTGGCAAAGGGCGATTTGCACCCGTTGGGTGGTGACTCCGCCTCTTTATAGAGCACAAAAGACCCAGAAAATGAACGGTGCCAAATCGGAGGAACTCGGACGCAGATGAAGATGCAGATGCAGATGCCATGTGCCCATGTGCACAGGCGAAGACAAAGGCAAAGAGCAAAACAAAGCAGCCGATAACGCACTAAACGATGCCTTTCATGAATATACTCCTGATAAGGGGTACTATATTATAAGGGGGGATACGAAGTACGGAGCTAGAAGCTGCACTCTAAACAAAGAAAAGAAAGAGAGGTGTACTTCTAGTATACCAGAACTAAATAGGCTACGTTTATGCGCACTCATCAATTGCAAATAAACAGTTCGTGTTACATTTTCATATTTGCCAGTAATTTAGACACAATGACTCTTGTTTAACCGAAGTACACACCCTGCAAGGTAATCTTTCTGTTATAAGAGAGCCTTCACAAGAGTAAACACATTTCTACGAAAGTTATAGACGGTTGTTGTCAGAAAATTGATTAAATGGGTATTTTCCTTGACTTTTTATTATGTTTCTCAATCAAATTAAGTTATAATATAAATAACATTCAGTGCGGAATGATTTGTCTATTTCTAGGCAAGTTGCTAAAATGAGAACAATCTATTTAACACCTCTGATTCTGGATTGATTTACTTGATTTAGTTATTTCCTATAAAGCAAAGCTTTAAGTCAGAAATGGAAATATTTTTATTACTTGCAAATTGGAAACGTAACACAATAAGAAGTATCGCTGTACAAAGTGACTCACTCATTACATGTTGACTATATTTGGAATGAAAACAAAAATAAGAGCACTGAATACTACGCTTAATTATTATCTTTAGCTATATTTCATTAATGAAATACGTATTTCATGAAATTATTATGATTCACTGCTTCCTTTTTTTTAGTTTAGAATAAACGTCATAGGTTATTTGGGAGTCTGCATTTTAATATACTGTCTTTATAGATGTTCTGCTTTATTCAGGACTTAGTTGCCGTATAAACTGAGTAAGATACAAATAATCCTAGAATTTCTGCGATCATTTCAATAATATTATTATTCAAACTGGCCTTAAAAGCGATTAGATATTTCTTGAAAAATCTTCAACATCCGCTTGAATATCCCATATCTTTCTATATCTTACCACGACATTTACCGTTGAGCTCAGGTGCTGGGCGATCCGGTTGAGAAACTTCCTGAAGGACGAGCGGCGTAGAGCACGTGTCCGCTTGTTGTTGTTGTTGCTGTTGTTGTTGCTTCCATTGCTGGCGGTGGTGTTGCTGCTGCTGTTGTTGTTGTTGGCCGCATTGTTGTTGTTGCTGGAGGAGGTGGTGGTCACGAGTGGAGCCTCGTAGCTGCTCAGGGAGACAATGCTGCCGCTCCTGCCACGCCCCCCGCCCACGCAGGAGGAGATGGCCGTGTGGCTGCCACGTCGCTCTCTTCCTCCTCCTCCCCCCACCACTTCGTTATCCCTGCCGCCACTTCCGTTGTCCTTTTCCGAGGACGACGCAACGGAGGCCGCTGCCGTTTTGAATTTACGCGACCAGCGGAAGGGATTGCGTGGCATGGAGAAGGCGCGGCGAATCTTTTTGGCGGCATTCGTCGTGGTTGTTGTAGTGGCAGCTCCTGCTCCCCCTGTTGTTGTTGCTGCCCCCGTTGAGTGGGTGGTGGCGGCGTCGCCCTCGCTCTGCTCTCCTCGCTCCTTTGCCGTGCCCATCTTGTCTCTCGCTCGCTCTCTCTCTCGCACACTGAACACACGGATTTCGATTTCGGTCACATATATTTGTTGTACGCGTATTTACGGTGAATTGCACGGGCGTAGGACGTACTGTACTACTTAACTTAACTAAACTAGCGCGAATTGACCTTTTAGCAGTGATTCGCCGCCTCGTTGGTGCACTTTTCCGACTTTTCTCTCCGCTATTTTCTCGCCTCTTTTTGTGTCTGCCCCCGCCTTTCCTCTCTTCTTGCTGACCCACTCCGCGGATTTTGTTCCGCCTTTCGTATGCAAATACTTTCACTTTTCGGCGGCGGCGGTGTTGCAGCGGAGCGCTGGTGTCGCGAGATCGAACCGTTTTTTATTTTGGGGCCGCGAGTGGGGCGAAATGGGGCTGCGATAGTATTATTAACCGAACCGAGTGTGACCGCGGAGGCGTTTCTGGAAAAATCTTACTCGCGATAGTTGCGATAGTTTTTCGTACTGCTTAGCTACTGTCAGAGCTCAGTTTCGCGACTTTCTAACAGAATGTTAAGATGCAACGTTTTCTTACATTGGCAGAACTGTTAGCCCTCTGCCGCTGCTCTGCCAATGTAAGAAAACGTTGCATCTTAACATTTCTGTTAGAAAGTCGCGAAACTAACATTTTCTGAGCGCTGACAATTGGTAAACAGTACGAAATCTTAACAATTCTGTTAAGGGCTAGTACTCAACCCAACAAAAAGTCGTCCTAAACAAAAATACTTCATACGAAAAAAACGTTAAGAAATTTTGTTTCATATGAAGTTTTTTGTTTTGGACGACTTTTTGTTGGGTTGTGTAATAGCCCTAAACTGAGAGGGAAATACCGAAAATACTTCAAACGGTCACGCTAAAAACAGTGTTGACTAACGCCACACTTTCGCTACAGGACAAAAGCTGACAGGTAGAAAAGATGGCGGCTTTTTCAAAAATGTACGGGTTAGGGTAGCGGAGACACGAACCATGGAAATATGGCTACACCTAAATGTACGTACATTTAGTATGACCACAATCGATAATTTCACAAGGCGCGGCAAATTCAATTCTCTGCTCCCCCAAACCAATCAACTTATATGAGCTATTTTGGCACTTGCCAATCAACCACTTTGGGCTACCTAATTTATGCAAACAATTCTGATAAATTACTTGTGTACGCGTGCAATTTAAAGTGGAATTATGCCGTCAGGCCTGCGAAATTCGGCGGTCGCAAATGATATTCAAATACCCGGTTGATACTCGAGATTTACGCCGGCGACAAAGCCATAGCCTTCGGCGGGACACACGCAAAACAGGACGACGACGAGGACGAGAACGGTCGGACGTCTCAGTTTCACTTTCATCACTTCAAACCCGATTAAGCACCTCATTTTATGTGTTATTTATCTACTGATTGGATGGCGATGGCGATACGGGCCCTTGCCCTCCAGTCCTGAGTCGTCTATTGCCATTGTTATTTTCCACTCGGGTGGGGTTTTCCTCGCGAGCTTTCCTTGCCTCGCCTCGCCTATTAAAAGACGACAAAAATACGCGTATAAATGCCACATAAAACAATACAAAGAATAATAGGCTACCATTTTTCACCAGCCACACCCACTTTTGCGAGTCTGTCAGGCAGCCACTCAGTCGGCGACACCTGTCAGGAGCCCACTTTCTCCCCACTTTCTCTCCCCGGGCGCGTATGTGCGTAGGCATAAAATAAATAAATAAAAAATTGACTACCAGACGAGGACCCTGTCCCTTTTCCTCCCCGGTCGGCAAAATAATATTATGTCGACCCATTGAAACGAGCATGATGTAATTTTCTTTTCCGTTAAGTTTCATTTGGTCGATAAGGATGAGTGAAAGTGGCTTTCCCATGTTGACACACACATTTCCTTTATGATTTCTTCGGGGGCAGGTGCTGCATTTTCGTTTTCATTTTCCAATTTGTGAATTTGCAATTGTAAATTCCACCTACATATATTGTAAATTCCAATTCGACACTGCCTTAGTCTTAGTCTTAGCGAATGACATAATTCCGGGGATTCAATTATATTGCCATATTACATAAGCCGATTACAGCGATGATAACAAAGCATTAAACTCATTAGGACGAATGAAGACGAAGGCGTCGGCGAGGCGGAGGGCGAGGGGCGTGGCTGTGACAGTGACAGAGAGGGAAGATGAAATGAGATGGCAGCTGGCGGAGGCCATGCCCATTAAATGAACTTATCAATAAAAAAATGAAAGCAGCGGGAAGGAGCGGAAAAAACAGCACACACCCTCAGACAAGAGTACAGGGGGGACTCCTTAAGAGAGATAAAAACCGTACATTAATATATTTAGATTTATGAAATGGTAAATATTATAGGAACAGATGAATTATGGGAGATACTTTATAAACATATTATTGTTATACAATATCTCAATAATTAAAAATTTGTCAAGTAAATTTCAAAAATTATAAAAGGTAATCTTATCTAACATTCACCTTAGCCTAGCTTCACTGTGGCAGGACAACAAACAGTGAAGGGAAAAAGTCGAGAAAGACAATAAAGGCAAACAGAACATAAATTGAAGCAGGCCGCGCCAAATATCAACAAAAGCTTGCCCAGTGGGTGGCAAACACACCCGCAAACACCCAAATGCGCTAACCCCCAGCTAAAAGAGACAGAGAGAGACGGGGGAAAATGAGAGAGAGCGCGCAGAAAAAAGGCGATATCGCATATCAAGAAAAATCACAACCCAACCAAAATTAAATGTCCCCACACCCAGAAAAAAAAGACCGAAAAAATCTAAGACCGAATTTCTTACATTACTACCGTTTTGTTCTTTTATTTTTTTAAGACCATATTCTTATATTGATACCAAAAAGTATTGATTTAAGACCAGTAAATTTAGATTTAAGTTGAACTTATGCACGCGCGCGAAGCACGGTGCGATGGCCCAGTTGGTAAGGCGTCTGCATCTGATGCGAGAGGACCCCGGTTCAAAAACCGGACAAGTCAAAGTAAGTAAAAAGTTTTTCAAATGTATTTCAATTAATATTTCCTTAATAACTTTAAGAACAAAAATGTATTTAAAAAGTTAAGTTGTTAATTTACTAATTAATAAAAAAAAAAAAGTGGCGTTGTGAGCGGGAATTGAACCTCGTACCCCCAAACACAAAATAATACCAGAATCCAGCACCTTGGCCCCTGGGCTATGGCCTTATTATTTCCTTCCATGGCAGAATGCTTACAGGAGCATTCAAAGAAATTTATTTATGTACTAAAAATAAATTTAAATTTAAGTACGTTTTGTTCTTAGAGTAAGAACAGCGGTCTTAAAAATCCGTTCTTAAAATAATACCATAAATTCTTATACTGCACTCAGAAAATGAATCGCCCTGAATTTTAGAAAATCGCCTATGGATTTGCTTCACTGGCGATTTTTTTCTTTAAAATAAAAAAATTTTCTACTGGTAAAGAAAATTTTCTTCCAATTAATCAAAATTCATTAAATTCAAGAAATATTCCAGAAATATAGAAAAAAATCGCCAGTAAAGCAAATCCATAGGCGATTTTCTAAAATTTTTTTTTGAGTGTGATACCAAACGGTATAAAGCTATTTTTGAGACTCAAACAGACACGTTTTCAGACACAATCAGAACAATTTTTTCCCTGAGTGCAGTGGACATCCAAAAAAAAGTGGGGATTGCCTGGTAGCTGGAATGAAAAATGATTGACTTTTATGGTGTAGCTGGCGCATATTCTCGGTCTTTAACATAATATTTGTCATAAAATTAAGGGCTGAAAGAGAGAGGCAAACATTGTCATAAAAAATTTGCTAAATGCCGGCACACAGGAAGAGCCTCGCTTTTGGCCCAGGCACACAAAAGTTCATGCAGTTCACAAATTGTACACACACTGCCACACGCACACATGTGCGCACATTTCCGGTTAAAATAATAATGCCCAGGATGGCGGGGGAGGGGGTGCGCGAGGGCAACTGAGGCAGGACGATAGCTACCAACAAAAGCAATAATTATGGCAAACGAGTTTGCCTCGTCTTACGCCTTTTGTCGCCCATTTTCCTGCTTTGACAGAAGCCTTAACCTACAAAGATGTGCCTTCTGCCCCCTCTAAGTCGCCACCCGTGAACCAATCACCCTCTCACTCACACAGGCACAGAAAGACACCCAGTGCCTTTGCTTTTGCTCCTGCTTTTGCTTTTGCTGTCATGTTCAAGCAACAAAGCAATCGAAGCAAAGAAGCCGACTATTGTTGGCCAGCTACACATAAAAAATGTAGTGAATCTTAATCTTATTAAGAAATTATAATCTTATTTAAAACAAAAAAATATATTTTTTAATTCGATCATGCAATTAAATATGTTTTATATTTTATATTATGTTTCTTTTTTAATTTAAATATGTTAGGAATCCTTGAATTTATAATACAGATATTCCTTTTACTATGCACTTTTTTCTGTGCACCGAGGAGAACCCCCCAACACCCAACCACCCCCTTGTCTGTCTCCCTTCTTCGTTCTCAGTGTGTTTGTGTGCAGGAAATTTCGTTTTATGCGCGAGACAAATCGCACCTTATTATGTGAGACGCGCATGTGTGCGTGTGTCCGTGTGAGTGGGTGGCAATAAGGGGCTTGTGCAGACACTCGGCGGCTTCGGTGGTATGCGTTGTGTGTGTGCGTTTCGACTTTGCGACGAGCCATTATCCACACTCATGCACCCACGCTCTATCTATGGCTTTATCACCCAACGACAACACCCGCTCACCATCGGAATTTACATTTTACGTGCTGCATATGTGTACCAATTGCAAGAGTGTGGGTGAGGGGGTGAGGGTGAGGGAGGGAGGTTAGAGGGTTGGACGGTGGGGTTCCCAAAACTGTTGGCCAGCGGATGCGCTACTCCGCCTCTTTCATTTCATCACATTCAATGCCAATCGAAGGAACAAAAATAAAACTAAAAGTTCTCCAATATTTAAATTTAAGTTTTCACCAATGACAGTTAATGGATTCTACATTTTTTTAGCCCTCACTTTGAATATTCTCCCGAGATTAGGGAATTGAAAGCACTTAAGAATGCAGTATCGAAATAAAAAAAAAAGGATTTCCTTAATGAATGGGGTTTTTTTTTTAGACAAGTTTAAAAAAAAATGCAAAAAAAAACAATGTTCTTGAAAATTATTATATTTTTAGAAAAACTTTCTAAACATTTTAATATCTTTTAAGGACCAATACTAGCCT